CGAAGTGGGGTTGCCAGGATTTTTCTATCTGCGCACGGGCAACGCTGGGTAATTTATTCTTTGTTGCAAAAAGGTGGTACCTGCTACATGTTCTGCACTGCTCCGTGTACACTTGCAGCCCATGCATCCTGTGATGGCCATGGACATAAAGAAGTCTACATGGGAAAAGTGTGACGAGATAAACTTTTTTTTTTTTTTTTGCCGTGTGAAGTTGAGTGGACTTAGGTTGTCGCACTTGTTCGTACGATAGCAGGTATCGCGGTTTTCTTTTTTTCACGAGACCAGGCTGACCGTTTGTTGAGAACTGTCATCCAAGTACGGTTGTTCAGAGAGCTGCACGAGTTCTGGTGTAGATGACGTGAGGTTGGGTTAAGTCGGGTGGCGAGGAGCGCTTCGGCCTTGAGGTCTCTTGGTGTTAGCTGGATCTTGATTCGCAGCGGGAGTTTTCATTCTTGCTGGGCACCAGATGTGTAGACCCTCCCTGATACGAGCGAAGCCAGGTCAGTCCCGAGCGGAGTGGCGCCAAGACCCGTCGGGAAAGAGCAGACTTCGTTGGACCTCTTGAGGCCCGGCCGACAGCGGAGATCCAACGCCTCCGCACTGCCCAGCCTGGTTCGATTGTCCCGCCGCCGCTCACTCTCAAGCCGCTTGCCCTTTCTTTTCTTTGTCCCACACGCACATCTTTACCTTCTGTTGGAGACTGGCCATAACAAGCCCCCCCCCCCCCCCCTCCCCCCAAACCAAAGTTATCCTTTATCAGTTTTGACATATACAAAAAAAAAAAAAAAGAAGAAAACTCACAGCTAGACACATGGGTCACTCCCTTGTCCTGATCGTCCAGATACAAAAACATACGAAGCACTAAGCTAAGCTATTCAACACTGAACCTATAGACTGGCATATCACATCACAATTTTTAACGGAGCAGCAAGCGAATGCATTCTATAGGCTCGTGAAACACAACTCAAGTAGTCACCCCCCCCCCCCCCCTTTTTGTTGCCAGTTCCTATAAAAAGCCACTGAAGAAAAAAAAAAAGATTTTTTTTAAGTGTAATTGGGACACTCGTGTCAAAAAATTTTTTTTTTCGCGAAAAAAAAATTAGAGTAAAATTGACGGCACTAGGCGCGATTTAGTCGGTAGTCACCTCCTTTCTACTTGTGGTGGATCGGCTTGGTCATCACGTTGAGGTGGAGAGAATGTACGACCATCTCGTTGAACTGCGAAGAGTGTATGACCATTCCGTGACGTCATGAACTTTTCGCGCAGAATTTGAAATAAATCTCGCGCCGTCAATATTGCTCTAAAAACTCTTTTTCGCGTTAAATTTATTTTTTGACACGCGTGGCCCAACCAGGTTGTTTAAGAAAGGAAACTTGTTTTTTCAATCGCGTTTTAATGTACTTAGCCGAGAACTCGTACTCGTGTAGATGCAAGCTCCACCTCAACAAGCTACTGTTTGAAACTTGCACTTTATGCAGGTACTGCGAAGGCAGATGATCTGTCTGAACTATGAATTCTTTTCCGTGTATATACAGATGGAATTCCCGAATAGCCCAGACTAACGCTAGAACTTCCCTTTCGATGGCGGGATAGTTCCTCTTCCTGGGCAGCAACTTCCTATTAGCAAACGCAACGGGAGGCAAGAGCGACAAGTGCTTCTGCATTACATAGCGCCCAGACAGCTGTCTGACGCGTCGGTTCGAAGTGCAAAGTTTCTAGTAAGATCCGGTGCCTTAAGAATAGGTCCAACTGAAAGTGCTCGCTTCAACTCCCGGAAATCATCTCCTAATTTTGCGGTCCAACAGACCTTATTTGGCTCCTTCTTCTAGTCAGCTCGAACAAGGCAGAATTTTCGCTCGAAGCGAAACCTCCTCTCAATTTTGTGCACCTGGTAGCCGGACCAAATATGACCGGAATGGGGGCCAAAACACTAGCAAAAGATGAGATTTGCTTCTTACTTCCCAAGTAAAAATCGTGGTAGGGACCACTCTGCTGCTTCAAAGTCGTATCCTTCACAAAGAGCTGAGCGACGCCTCGATCTGCACCGGGGGCTTTTCCTCGTACAGTTCCTTCTCCGTGGAATGCTCGAAATCGGCGCCTTCCTTCGCAGAGGCATCGACGTCTTTCTTTTTCCCTTCTTCCCTCGGAACGCTTCCAACGCTTTCTACCGAAGAGCGTTCGCTGCTCAACCCCTTGGTAACCTCTGGCGGCCGCCCTCGAAGGCGACGCCGACCTCGGCAACGGCCTGCGCCACAAACCCGGAGCGTTCCTGGGCTCCTGCTCGATGTCGAACCCCGCTGGATCACTCCTGGACCTTCCGCCAGGCCTGCGGAACTAGCTCCCGTAGAAGCGTCAACGTGGCCTCCACTGGACTCGCTTATCCACGTATTCGTCCTCCCCTTAAAACTGAAAGTGGGGTCTCATGTCTTCGGTGGGTAGCGAGCTCCTGGTTGTACCTCTGGGACGGCGGTGGTAGCTGCCTTGAAAGGGTGGCAACATACCCCACCACGACTAACAGTGGCGGCAGGACTAAACGCTGATTACGCTCGAGCATCGCAACAGGACTGGCAGCCCCTCTACGACTAAGCATGAATTACGCCGGAGCCCCGCAACACGCCAAAAAGGGGAAAATGCCGGAAAGTCGCTGCAAGAACCCCTGTGACTAAACGCGGATTATGCCGGATATATAATACCCACACGACGGATCCAACCAGTCAAGAGATCCATAGCGGGTCACATACAAGGTCGCTTCTATACACTTTTCCACTGTTTACAAAAATCCACACGCGCTAAATCTCAGCCCAGCCAGCGCGTGCTCGCAATTGCCACTTGTACAATTTTTTATTATCCTCCATTTACTACAACGTACTCGCATCTTTCGTGTAAATATTCGAAAATCCAGGAGATAACTTGACAATTAATTTTAAAATGCGATAACTTTTTCTAGCAATAGCTTCTGAGGTACCGCATCAAATGCTTTACTGAAATTTAAGAAAACACAGTCGGCAGTTTGGCGGCTAGCCATTACAACCCCCCCCCCCCCCCCCCCCCCCCCCCACCGGAAGCCATAGTAATTCGGATTCAACAATGACTGAGCATCCATGCGTGTGTTTATAACAATAAACGTGTGCAGGATGGGTTTAAAATTTTTACAACAAATGGAGGTCAGTTAAATAGGACGGTAACTTAAAGCGACGTTTCTAGACCCAGATTCATGGGACTACGACAGAAGCTTTATCACAGTCATTTGATAGAGAGAAATCATTCGGCGATTTTTCAAAAGAAGATTTTCAGATACGGGGACACGGAACGAACACAATACTTAAGCAATGCTCTCGGCAGGCAATCAAGGCCATCAGTCTTTGAAACATTGAAGCCCTCTAATAATACTGCTATCGCATTAGTATTGAACAATATATTCTCCGTGGCCAAGGTTCCATTTGGAACAAAGCTGGCTGTAGAGTGCCTCATACACACGCGCGCCTTTGCTTGAGTGGTGACATCTCAGCCATTTTTCTGCTCAATTGTTTTTCATGCCTTTTGAAGTGCGCGCAATCCGGTGTCACTCAGCTCGAGCGCGTAGCTTTGGCTAATGCATAGACGCCATTTTACCGCCCAAGTCATGCACCGAGTGCGCGAGAGCGTCACGCGCTGGCACATTCAGTGCAACAATGGGTGTCTTCACCCTGAGACAGACAGACATGCAGGCACCCTAGCTGGCTGTAGGGTGCCTGCATGTCTGTCTGTCTCAGGGTGAAGACATCCATTGTTGCCCTAAATGTTCCAGCGCGTGACGCTCTCGCGCACTCGGTGCGTGACCTGGGCGGTAAAATGGCGTCTATGCATTAGCCCAAGCTACGCGCTCGAGCTGAGTGACACCAGATTCCGCGCGCTTCAGAATGCATAAAAAAACGATTGGGCGGAAAAATGGCTGAGATGTCACCACTCAAGCAAACGCGCGCGTGTGTATGAAGGCACTCTAGCTGGCTGTTGTAGGTTATGCCACCTGGTAGCAGGTAACGAGAGGTTAAGGGGGTTAGAGGAGCGCAGAACCACGAGATTATGAACGGCACGAGGGAGAAACCGAAAACCGACACCATCGAAACGGACGTGCCCGGGATCTCTTCCTTAACACTGGCTGTGGCGTGCCACTTGTAACGCCCAAGGAAAACACGGAACTAAAGTTGGAGTCGAAACATTCTGCATTTTGAGAGGCGTCAGTGATGACATCGTCATCTTTCACGACCGACAGAATAGATACGTTATCATTTTTATTTTATTTTACGTAATTCAAGTTTCACTAGAGCGAACGTTTTGTGCTGTTTGCCAGATCAAATGTACGCGCTATGTATGAAAAATAGTCGTTCACAACATTGCCAGAAGTTTTTCGAGCAAATAAAAAAGTAAGGATGCGGAAAAAAAATAGATTATATAAGGCAATCGCGAGTGTTCCACGGCTACCCGAATGGTGGCGCCAGTGCTGTCTTAAGAGATCCTAAGAACCCGGTCGTTAGCAGTCGAAAGTGCGTAAACCAGCCTTGATAACGAAACGGTAACAGCAAGGCGTCGCGTAAAGGCCCGTTCACACTCTTGCGACCTCTTAAACCTGGGTTCCTTAAAACTTGTTAAACCAGAAAACACACTGGCGCCATCTATTGGGAAGCAGTGTAAACTCGGCGGTCCGGCATATTTTTTTTTATTTCTCGAGCATTATCCTTTCTTTCTTGGCTCGAAAAACTTTTGACAATGTTATAAACGAGCCTTTCTATTGGTATTACGCACATTTGACCTCGAAAATCCCGCAAAACCTTCGCTCTTGTGAAATGCAGTTCCAGGGTCACCGCATAGATGGCGCCACAATGTCAGTGAGTTCCCTCATTCTAGAAACATTTAAGAAGTTGTAAGAGATCTCGTCTCTCTCAGTCGTACTCGGTCGCAAGAGTGTGAACGGGCCTTAAATCGCGTGAACGGCGCACGATTGCTTTCCCACGTTTTGCAGCGGCAGCTTCTGGAGGCGATTCGACGAGGCGGCAGCGGAGTCTTCCACGTGACCGACGCAGAGATGCGGATGTCCCTGGCGTCCACTCTGGTTCACGACTCGGCCCGGGCAAATGCCAGGGGGGCAATCCTGGTGCTCGTGCCTTCCGGTAACCACTCCCACGGAATCTCGGATGGCCTCGATGCTTTGGGTGCCACGTGCAGCTTAGGGCGTCGCACTGCGCAGGCGTTCTGCGCATGCTCGACACGACGCCCCCAAGGTCTTGGGTGAACTCCCCATCCCAAAAACTCCCTGATAGGAGTTACCTTCATGCACGTCGGATTCTAAAAGAATCCTTCGCTCGAAACGCCTCGATTAAACGCGAAGCCCAATCTTTTTAACTCTATTACCGAATCCCATAGCTTTTTATTTTTTCATTCTCATAACATTCACATGGATCCATGGATTTTCGGGATTTAAAGAACATTATTCGTGCCTTTTCGGTTAGAATCGACTGCTTCGATTATTGAACGGTCCGTACTGTTCAAACGGTTTGTTCTTCAGCTTGTTGTTAGTTTATTTGTGTTTTTTTTTTTTTTTTGTTCTTTATATATTTTTCGTCTTTGCGAAGTTGTGAGTTGTGTGTACTTCGCTCATGATTCCCTGTCGCGCTGCTGCTACAGATTGTATGAAAGCCGAAAGCTCTTTTTTTTTTTTTCATCTCGGCATCCAATTCATTTGAAATACAAATAAATTCGATTAAAGTTATGAGGATTGCAGGCAAAGAAAATGGCCGGACTGGGCGTTGCAGATCATTATGTCCTTGGGGATTCATAGAGTTTGATGGAAGCTTTGTGCGCCATGCTTTCAAGTAGAACTGGTATTCTTGACTTTCTTTTTAATTTACTGAAAAACACCGAGAGTTTTACGACGAACATTTTTTTCTGACGGACCGATGGAAAAAATAGACACAGAAAATTGGATTGCTCTATAGGCGCTTCTATGAACCAAATGTCAGATGTTGTGGTAAGACAATCACGCCACACTTGATAATGATCTTGACGCCAATTATGACTACAGCTGTTTCTCACGACATGCAGTCAGTGAACTAACAAACAAACAAAAATGTCATGTTCCTAACGTTTTTTTCGCTCGCTTTACCGGTATTTTGTATCGCTTTCACAGTTTTTATGTGTTGTCAATTTCTAGATGCAACGCCGATAAACAACGGGGCCCTTTTGTTTCGTTTTAAGTGAGGTTTATTTTGCATGGGCCTTCTGTCTATATATGAAGGGGAGGGTTAGCGGTGCTAACTCTCCCCCTTTGTCTGCTTCGTGGGGCTGCGTAGGTGCTGAGACCCCAAAGAATGGCGCCACTTTTGCAGGGATAGAGCAGTAACGTTGGGATCAGGCTGTAAGATAGACAGGTGGGGAAACGGTCCATCAGAGCCACGGTCCATATAAGTCTACCGCCGCGCCGTGACCGGATTGTGTTCTCGTCTGCTTCCGGGTACCCCCGATTTGCGACAGATGGCGCTGCGGCGAGAGGAAAAAAAATCGGAATCGGATTTGCGTGGAACTCTATGGGAGAGTGCGCAAAATAAACTGAGAGCACGACAGACCTCCACTGAAAATCCACGAGAAACAATCTCCGTCAGTTTAGCCGGTCGCCACCGGTCGCCCACCCGGAGTGAGAGTTCGCGGTGCTCCACATAGATGGCGCCACAGAAAAAGAGAAACCCGAGAGGGACACAATCCGGTCGCTCATTTGGCTCTCGTTTCCCCACCTGTCTATCTTACACCCTGGTCGTGATAGAGGGGCTTTACCACTGATCTCTGCGACAATGGGGATCGCGATGTCACCGCCGGAGCGCAGTGTGAAAAAGGAAGACGTGGCACGCTGCAAGTAGAAATGCGCTGCGTGTACAAATGGCTTTTGCATTCTTACACGTAAGCAGTCTTAAGTGCCTTCTCGAATGTTTTTGGTACGCGTACCCATAAAATCAGTAATTAACGAATGAATGAATGACTTTTCATCTCGAACGCAGAGGTCGTTGCGCAGCAGTACGCGGACTACTTCAAGGGCACCAGCCCCCTGCTGGTGGGAACGTCCCTGGACAGCCTCTCCAGTTTGTCTCTGCGGAACAGAAACGTGACGCTGACAACCGCGAGTGCGCTATCCCACGCCCTGCACGTGCACGACCTGGAGCTCGGGGAGCTGGTGCTCGTAATTGCCGACGACGCCTCGGACCTGACCCGCAACCAGTTCAGCGAGCCGGCCCTTCGAGTGCCCGCGTCCGGAAGTCGGTCCTCCCCGCGAGTGGTCGCGTTCAGCAGGGCGAGGGACACCAGCCTTCGTCAGCAGGTATGGGCAGCCAGATGTTTCGGTGCTGCCACCCGGTAGGGCGTCTGCCAAGAACTAAGATCACTGCATTCTGGGAAAGTGGAGTCATTGCCTTTCACGCCTGCTAACCGAACAAAAACAGATAAACTAACCTACGGACGACCAAAAACTCGCAAGGCGATTGGCCGATCGGTCTTCGTTGCCATGGCAGTCGCCGTTGTGGTCCCTGCGAATCTTCGAAAAATTATCGTGCAATTAAATGCAAAGGTGCAAGCGACCTGAACAAGAATGACGTCCTTTGTCCCTCTTGTCTCCAGAAATTATTTTCGTCCTTCGAAAGGGTCGTTCTGAATCAGTCACGCCAAGATCGCTATACAGCGCCATCGTGCCGGAAGCGTTCTTCGCCAATATAAGAGTCCTCGGCACTGTGCATGCAACGTGCCATAATCTCCGCAGATCTCCTAGAATTATATTGTTCTTCTCGAGTATTTCTAGGGAATTCATTTTTCAATGTCACTAAGCATGTGCCATCTATGAGAAATCGTTATTTATAATTTTATCGAAACCTTTTTGAGCCTGTAAAGAAAGTGAGTGTTCACCCGATAGATGGCGCCAGTGTGTACAAGACTCTCGGTCGTAAGCAGTCGCGAGTGTGGAAACCAGCCTCTAAAAAGAGGAAGGTCGACTTGGAGCCCAAGAGAGACGAAGTCTGCAGCTCCTTCGTGCTCATTTACCGTGAACTACAGGCGGCAGATGCAAGCTCATATATTCCGCCACAAAAAAAAAAAAAAAAAATACAGCGCTTTAGCGCAAAAGTAAGCTAAGCATCGCCGAACGCTCATTCTGCACTCAAAAGTAGCGCTAGTGGTCCGAACCAGAGGCCAACGTGCCAGAACTAACCGTCAGCTTATTCCAAAGGTATGAGGGATTTTCTGAAATTTTCATTGAGAAATGCATGGCGGTCGACGGAGCTCTCGAACCCAAGAAGCTGTATTGCCAAAAGAAGGCAAAGACGGGCCCCACCTTCCCATTGAAAATTTCAAAACATCACACAACTTTCGAAATAGATAACGGTTAGCTCTGAAGTCTTGGGTTCGTCTGCTACGAAGCATCATTGGCAAACGGCAGACTTGTGCCTATCTCAAGTACTCTACTGAAGATACTGTATTTTAGATACTTTTTGGAGTATCTTGGTATCTTGCAAATGCTTTTGATCGGGAGTATTTGATACTCGATTTTATTTCCCATTCCGAGTATCCTGTACTCATTATCTTAGAATACATTTTTGACATTCCCCCATTTTCCGAGTTTTTCTGTATGAAGCGGCGTGGGCGTGGCACGAGCAAACGTGAACATTCTTTCGAGCAACCAAATCCTGTTGCTAGCTCCGATTAGCTACGGTGGCTTTGACTGAGCTCGTGAAAACATCGCTTTTTTGCCGACTGTGACTCATATTTCAGCCGAAAGTTCGCACAATGAAGGTTCTCCCCTCGCCTTCCCAAAGGCGCCTTTTGTTTCGATAGAGTTTCCCTCAAAAAAATTCTAAAACAAAAGGTGTGGTTTCGCGGAAGTAAAGCTGCCACCCTGAGGCGCAACGCAGACCGGGAAACGACCTACGACAACAATGGAGACTTGAGTGTCAAGAAAATAACAAATGGAAGAAAATGAGAAGTCGACACACACAAAAAAGTAGACATTTTTGGTTTGCTTTTTGTATATTTGACCCCGCTAGAGCAAAACGTCGAGGTATTTTTTGTTTTGTTTTTTCTTCTTTTTTGTGTTGTTAGTCCGGCGCTTATTTCTCCCACGATCACTGTCTGTAAGCGAACATTGATAAGCAGAGAACAGTACAGGAAACGAACTACGAGCTGGATGACCACTCAAAATGCCAACAAAGTGTCCCCCAACGTTGAGTGCCTTTCTGAACGCAACCTACTTGAAGAAGGTGAGACCACTGTTGTGGCTATTATCTGGGTTCTCTTTGTTATTCATTCACTCATATCCGTGTCCCAGGATCGTTTATAGTGAACCATATTCCCGTATAGGGAATATGGATTGTAGTTAAACGATGCGTCTAAGGTGCGCCGCAGGACGTGATATTCAGTGATGTCACTATTGGCGAAGCGCTCTGACCCGTTTATCACACCCACAACTCACTGTTTACCCAACACAAGGCCTGTGCACATGCCCACAGGCCTTGTGGGCATGTTCATGTCATCTTTTTTAATAGAGCGCGGGCATAGTGTAAGGAAAAAATATCAACAATTAGCGAAGTGACGTTAAGTGCCGGATCTCTCCCAAAAGCAGTCGTCAGAGGATGCGAGCTTGACCCACTTGGGCTTTCGTACTGAGTTGGGCACCGTGCATGCTGCATTGTTCATGCAGGCCGGAGTGGTAACAAAAGAGTCCCTCCTCCCCTTCACCGGAGAACACGAACTCCAGCCGAGCGCTGACGCCGCGTTCGGTTAAGTCAGCCGAGCGCTGAGCCGTTGTATAGGCTCCTTGCACTGACGTCACATCGCACACTTTTGAACACCAAGTAAGAGGAGGAGAGGGAAGCTGCTTTTGTAAGAATTTTGAGTGACAGGTTAATCTTCTATAATCTTCTGGGGGGAGAATAGCGACGCCTGTACAAATCCGGGAGGTACAAAGGAGGGTCCTGATAAGAGGGGAGCTCCTTCTTCCCCTCTTCTTTGGAGGGCAACGGAAATGACGTCCTGTGCAAGGAGCCTATTTGTTTCCCCATCCATCTGGTTCTAAAGTTACCCGCTTGGGGCGGCACGGTCTGATCTTCTCCCCATTAGCTAAAGCGACCTTTTTCTTGTTGTCCCAGAAATGTTTTGTGACATCTATCAGTGATATTGCCACGCGCGTTGCCCGGCGAGTGCGTGGCCGAATGGTTACAGCGCTTGGCTCTCGCGCGGAGGCTCCGGGTTCGATACCAGGGAGCGGACTTGTCTTTTATTTATTCTTTCAACTTGACATTCTCGTAAGTTCGAGAACATTGGCGTCTGATCGAGTTACGAATGTTCTACGCGCCCAACTTTCTACGCCGAATGTTCCAGAAACCCACGCGGGCACAAAAGGTGCTCCGATTGGCGGTCCGGAGTCAGTCTCGCCCCAGCGGTCGATCCTGCTGTTTCGCCGACATCGACGCCTGCAACGCTAGCCATTTTTTTTTCTTCTTTTTTTTTCTTTTTTTTTGGGGGGGGGGGGGGGGGGGCAGAAGTTCGCCCCATCAAACTTTTAGTTTGTTCAGTTATTCGCCGCCTCATCATTTGCCATTCGTCAATATCCTGCTCCTTATAGTCGGACTGCATAAAATAGCCCTACGATACTTTTTTTCTTTTTTTTCGTTTCGTGTTGTTGCGTGCTAATAAACCATTGTGGTAACCCAGATTTGCGCAGCTGTATAATTGTCGTTGTCACTGACGTCAATACAAATTTATTTATTTATTATTTATTGAAAGTACCCTCAGGGCCCGAAGGCAATCACACAATGCTGAAGTATGTTGAAAAGGAATTGAATTACATTTCTAAGTGTTTGCACTACTCAAGATACTTATAGTGAAAGTAACTTGAGTACTATTTTGAATACCTTATAAAGCAAGTATTTAGTAACTTATCCTAAATACTTTTATCGAGTGTTCTGTCCAAACACTGGCAAACGGTAGTGAAACGGCAAAAGAAAGGGGGGGGGGGGGGGGGCAAAGTTGATCGTCTGCGAACCAAGGGCCGCGGCGAAGTGAGATCGGGCTCAGGCTGTAATTTGGGATCGTTTAATACCCCATGCACACGAGCATAAAGGTACCTTTAGCTAAGGGACCTTTATGGTCGGCGGCGAATCATTTCGCAATCCTCCGCGCGTGGCATGTGCTCGCGACTCAGGGGCGCGGGTTCATTCGCAGATTGCAAAGGTACCTTTATATGTTAAAGGTACCTATGTTAAAGGTACCTTTATGCTGGTCGTGTGAATTACTTCACTTTGGAAGCCATTGACCACACGCGCTTCGTTGACAAATCTCGTTTCTGCTGCCCCATAAGCTGATATAGACCGGTGATTGAAAGAGTACTAAGGCATAGCCTCTTCTCACAAAGCTTGGCAGTTCGATAACAGAGCCATTGAGTTCCCGGTCGCAGATTCGGAGCGCGTGGATCTGGTAGCACAGAGCATTTCTCGGGGAGTCTGGTATTCAGCGCACAGCTTTTGCAGCGGCAAAGACCCCAAACATGGTTTTCAAACCCGACGAGAAAAGAAGCGGTAGCCCGAGGAACGAGAGAAGCACGAGCGGACATTCCATTGCTCGGGAGAAGTGTGTGTCGGCGTTTCGCCGCAGCGGGGCGCCCGTTACATGCCTCTTGTCTGCCGGTCAACCTTTTCACTTTCGTCTGCCGCGTCTCGTGACCATCTGCCAGGCTTCCTCAGTATAGAGGGGGCTATAAGACTAAGGACATCAGAGAGACCTCTCTCTATGTTGGTGAGACGCTCGCACGAAAATACTGCCCAATTGTGAACCCACGAACAGGTCAAAAATGTCCAATTGGTTGATAAGGCGCAAGCTGTGGCGCCACGTTCAATCAGCAACTGAGTACGCGTTCTCACCTTGACCGGACCCCAGGAACGGTCACGCAGTCAATGCACTCTTAGAAAAAAGGGTATGGATAGTCCTCCCTTAGGGGAGGAACGGTCTTGTAACCTATGTTCCTTTAGAAAGGGAGAAACGTTCGTCCCTGAAGCAGGGGAGCAACGTTCCTCTGTCGCTTGCATCTCAATATGGCGGCCCCGAATCGAGCAAATCGAGCCCAATAAGGCTTAACCAGGACGCTACGTCTCTTGTACGGGACGAGAGCAGCAGCAAATAAAAGCGTCACACGAGCTTTCCGCAAACTGTGTTTATTTCCGAAGCCAGATTCCCCCCACAGGTACAGAAACTTGCGTTTCGAAAGCAGTTACTCAGTCTTCTCGTCGACAGCACTGCGATGTTAAACGGAGACAACCGATACCCAGTTACTTCGCGCACTTTGAGTCTTACTTTTGGTGTTCCTCGAGTCACAATTCCTTCGTCAACCGCACATCACAGAGGAGGTCAAACTCAATCAGCGAAACCAAAAGCCGCTCTCGAAAGAACAAACAGAACAAACTCGAAGCCGCTGTTTATCGCGTAGCGTGAAAGGTTAAATCGCTAGCCACCAGATGGCGGGGTCAAGCAGAGTAATTGCAAGCAGCTAGGCTAGGTGGCGCTTGGTACCGCCCAATTCATGTTCTACAAAAAATAATTAATTTTTTTCAGGCCACTATCGCGCTTCAGAGCCGCTCCCCTGCGCTTGGGGATCCTCTACTATACACACACATCACACTTATTACAAGCATTAGGTGAACATACATTGAGCACATACACGGCACACACACAAATATTAATACAACGGAACACCACACTATCCCGAACACTACACCCGTGCTCTGCGTTTCCGTCTTTTATACTGGTCGTTTTGAACGTACGGAACTTTTCGGTGACCCCCTAAGCAATAAAAAATATTCCCAGCATGTTGATTTTTTCCCAGCAATGTCATACCTCTGAAAGTATTTTAAATGGCTCAAGGGATGAATCTCTTATTAAAAGTAAACGCTCGATCAAGCCGTAATTATTTGAAAGCCTATAAATCGAGCCGCCCTAATGCGGTTCGAAGCCATGAGTTTGTTTCCCCACACGGCACGTCGTAGCCTGTATTTCTATTGGTTTTTCTATTTGTGCTGTTCGCGCAAAGCTGCAATTGCCGTCTTGAATTAATCTCTGTAGAGAGGATATTCACTCAGCTGCAAGTAATGCTTCACATGCTGAGAAATCGCTTTTCGATCAACTTGAATGCAGTCAAAGCCGCGACTTGCGGCAGGTGTTCAGTGTACGGAGCTACGCCGTGGCGAGCCCAAAAACGTCTAGCGCTCATCCCAGCGCGCCACTTGGAAGGCAGTTTCTCCAGGAACCGTAGTATATTTAAACAGCAAAATAAAGGGCAGCTTTTTTTTTCGATTTTACCTTCTATTGTTTTTTAATGCCGGAATTCCATGCTGTAAATATACGTACTTTCCGTCACGATTTCGTACTGTTCAGTCCTTGCCCCAGAGCGCAATCGCTCTCGGGGACGAGACAATTCCGGCAGTCATATTGGCCATTGTACGATAGCGATAGGAGCTTCTACTGTTCAGACCAGCGTTCCAACATGACTATCCGCACGTTGATCGATTGCACGTAATCCCTCAAGTGGTATTAAACTTTTTAATGTAAAGCGGAATGTCAACCTGCGATACCCCGCCCCCTCATCACGGCCCGCCCAATTGCATCAATGCCCGACAGTTTACGATCTCATATTGTTGTTACACCACTGATACGCGAACACACGGTCACATCGGCGATAATTCCAGTCTTCTGTTCACAACCCACAACACTGCCATCACGATGTTGCAGCTATGTTGCTGACAGGCACAAATACAGAACCACGTTGAACGCCGGTTGCACTCGGCATCGGAAAACAGAACCGAACTCAGCGCGGAAGGCACCCAGGCAGCCGGCAGCAAAACCTGCCTGTCTTGGATGGAGTTCTTGCGGTTTCCATAACGTCGAAAACGTCGACACAGTTCCGCGTGGTTTCGCTACTGTAGCGACTGTAGTTCCATCGGTTCGCCTGGGTTCGCCGCGCGCGCGAGTCCCGCAATCCGGAGACGGCCATCCCCCAGTGTACGTGGCACTGCTGGCACTGCTCCGCAACTTCGCCACTTCGCTGTTTCCAGCGGCTTCGTTTGCTCGTTTGATAAAATTAGTGATAAAAGCGTCAATGCAACCGAAATGTTCTGCACGTTTAGACTAGAAAACGGAATTACAGGCGGCCTTTACTGCCGCTGAAGCTCAATGAACTCAACAGTTATTTATTAAACAACGTGCGCGACCTGCTCGAAAAGCGAAACCGAAAGAAGATGAGTCGGGAGGGCGAAAGCTTTCTCCCGTCTGCCTGGAGAAGGAGAAAAACGTTTCGTTCCTCCCCTTTTCTCGCGTCCGGTTGGGGGCGCGTCAGTAGAAGGGAGGAAGACGCGCCTTTGCTACTTTTTTCCTCCATTTTTTCTTAGAGTGTGTGCACTCCAAAATTGTTGTTGGTGTTGTTTTGTTCACGTAATCTTTAAAGTTTCTGCTGGTGCGTGATAATTATTTTCAATGCCGCAAGATTTTTCTTTTTATGGTGAATCTCTTTCTTCACAGAAGCAACACCATTGCGAGGGTGGTTCATTGGAGAGCAGCACAATATGGGGCTTCCGCACAAACACTCTGCTAGTAAAGCTCTCGTTAAAGTCACTTAAATGTCTCGTATACTCCTCGCTGTTCGCAGGGGGTAACAGCTGATTGGTGCTTTTATTTTTTCCAGGGAATTGCCATGGCACAACATTTACTGGGTAAGTGCGCCCTTCTAAACCACGCCCTCGTTTACCGTCCAAAATAGAGGAATCTTAAAAATATCGCTACTTCGTCATATTTTTCTTACCGTGTAAGCTCAGTCGGAATTTTTTTCCCTTCCCCGTCAGATTCAACGATTCCGTGACCGCATCGCTACTAAAGCCTTATTTTATTTATAACTGTTGAATTTCAGAACGCAGCTCTTAGGCGCCCATTTTCGGCTTGAGCGGCGTCGGCGTCGGCGTAACCGCGCGGTGCAATATGGAAAATATCCTATAATGCAATGTTAAGGGGAAAGGAATGTTATATACTAGTCGATGTCGCGAGATGTTCCAAATTTACGGAATGGGTCCTCGTGACAGAAAAAGTTGCGTGAGAAATAAAGAAGACTGCTGTGTTATTATTATACTGCGTTATTATAATGACGTCACGAGGGTCCCGCGCGATGCATTATGGGAAATTTTCCATAATGCACCGCGCGGGACCCTCGCGACGTCACGAGGGTAACGCGCGGTGCATTATGGGACATTTCCCATGATGCAACTCGTGAGGAGGAGGAGGAGGGGAGGGGAAGGAGGAGGAGGCGGAGGGGGAGGAGAGGGAGAGGAGGATGGGAGGAGAGGGGGAAAAGAAGGGAAGGAGAGGGGGAGGGGGAAAAGGGAGGAGGAGGAGAGGAGAGGAGGAGCTTAAAGGATAAGGGGAGGACGAGGTCGAAGAGGAGGAAGAGGAGGGGGGAGGGGTATAACCTCCCCTCAGTACCCTTCCTTCCTCCTCAAAAGCTGCGCTCTAATGCAGCGTCACAGGGAGTTGTAGATGTCTCGTATTTTCAGTTGAAACACAGTTCGAGTAAACCCTCGGAACAACGGTAACGCCAAGTTTAACGTCTGCTGACATTGGCTCATATGAAGGTTTCATTCGGCATTTCTCGCCGTTTAGAAATGGTTGGATAATCGTCGCGGTGGTTTGCTCCGAATAAACGTAATTCGTACGGAAGTCTCCACGGTATATATGCATGTTTTGTCAGCAGCCGCGTAAAAATGAAGCTCACGACAGTCGCGATCAGACTTGAAATTGTGATCCACCGTATTAAAAAATAACTTTTTTGTTTTTTGTTATATATTAAGACTAGAGCCATATGTGGCAGCGTAGCTGCCAGAGTAGCGCCACGCTTTTCCCTGTGCCGCCTCTCACCGTGATTGGTCACACGCGGTACCATAGCAACGAGCTGAGCTGGCTCGGTTTCTGTAGCAACCGAGTGACTACTCGTCACGTGACCTCGCAAGAGCCGTGATGTCACCGGTAAGATGGCAGCGCCCAGAGCTGGTGGATACGAGTTTGTTCGGTGCGCGGTAGTCGTGATGTGCCGCTGCTTGCCGACGATTTCGGACTTCTTCGTGCTCTCTGACGCAGGTATAACGTGAAGATCTGAAAGAATCTGACTTCATACCTTTTCTGTGCAAGATCGGTCTGGATATTAGCACCTGTGCGACAGCATCAGTCATATCGCCGTAGTGGTGCTCGTATTCTTAGATATGTTCGAGGATCGATAAGACATTTTGCATGCAATTTTCGCATACTCCTAGCCTTGTTTGAACGTTGGAATGTCTGAGAATCGATGGGAATTGTATGCGTCGCATGTTGGACATTGGGGAAGTTGTTTCAGCCCCAGGTAACCGCGTAATCACACTAACTTTTAGCGAGAAAGCTCCTGCGATCTTTACGCTTTGTACTAATCAACGATCTAACAATATAGCGTTTAGGATAATATTTTCGCATTTTCTAGCTCCCTTTGAATGTTGGAATTTCTGAGAATCGAAACGAAAGGTATACGTCGTGAGTAGGGCCTAGGGGAAGTTGTTTCAGCCCTGGGTCACCGAATAATCACAGCAACTTTAAGCGAAGAAGCGCCTGCGACCTTTAACCTTTTGTACTAATCGACGATTTTACGAGTTGACAGTTCTGAAGACTTTGATAAACGTCCTTTCGTTGCAATAGCTTGCATTTGATCGCAGTTTTTATTGGTTTGTTTTTTGCAAGCGACAAGCTGACGTTTGCTCAAATGACGTATATGAAATGACCTGCTCTATAACGGGAAGTACTCACTTGATCGAATGACGTTTTAGCGAACGCCCACGTTTCCCCGAATGACACTTTAGCGAATAGTCGGACGCCGCGAAGCGGCGTTTTCGGGTGGGCCAAATGGGTTCACATTTTTGTAATGAGCCGCCGCAGACTGTCGCCGCGAAGCGGCGTAAAGCGCAGCGCGGCGGAGGGGTTAACGCGCGCCCCCGTTATTCGCTAAAACGTCGATTCGCTCAAATGTCGCTGTTCGCTAAAATGTCATTCGCTCATGTGATATGGACCTTAGACAATTATTTTTTACGAGTGTAATATTTATTTTCTGTAGCTGGGCCCGTTTTGTGCTCATTAATGTCCGTGTGCTCTAATGTTATCATCATGTGTGTATGGTTCTAAATATCCTCTTTGCAGTGCCTACAAAAGCCAAAATGACGTCAGCCGACCCTAGCTCGCGCATTTGACACGAAAACTGCGTCACTCGGACGTATGCGCTCGTCAACAATCAATTCGTTGATGAATATTTGAATTCGCGTTCGTGGCCAATGAGTTCACATGAGTGCACTTGCGAATGACAAGTTCTATGGTGCGCTTAAAAAGCACAGTGGAAGCTTGGGGTCATCGCACCGGTGTCCTAGCATGTCACGACCGCGTGATTCCACTGTTCTCTTTTGAGTTGAGGATTAAAGCTGAGGAAGAAGAAGCTAACAAATCATTTCATGGCCCCTTTAGCACGGGTATGCGTGCTACACCATATAAAAATATGGACATTTTGCATGCCGGTAAACTTCTGGACGACCACTTGGCCTGTCGGCAAGAACACCTCATATCCGGCGTCCGTCCCTTCTGATGGCGTTAACAATCCTCTGTAGACCACCGTGCTGTCCTTCTTGGTTTGACCCCGTCGACTGTTCATCGCCCAAAACGAGAGTGAGACCGTCGTCGACGTCGTTCCTCGCCAGTCGGTGAGATAATCTCATCTTGAATAAATGATTGGGTCTTGAAGGAGTATGGTGCTAAGCATACATTCTCTTACTATGGGGCAGTCGAGCAGCAGTCATGTCCCAAGGCCTGGCGATTACGCCGGTGCTGTCCTGGCCGGCGTATTCGGATTTTGTTCCATAGGAGCGAAGTCCGAAAGTACAAAGGACGGTAGGTTCGTCCCACGAAGCGGCCGTCATCCCGGCGGCGCGGAAAACCACTCGCCTTGTCCGTGCATGCTGCAAATCGTCTCATTTCCCAGAAGAAACAGGCACCGCTCCTCTAGAGCCCCGTGCCGTACCGCCATGCAAAGCGTCTTTTAGGTCTTTTACCACTTTTCAATTAACGAATGGAGATACCAACTAGATCAAGGTTGCCGCCCGGCGTCGCTAGCAGTACGGTTACCATAGAAACCTCCCAGGCCCAAAATGGAGATCACTATAGGCGCTTCTGACGTCGTGCATCTAGATAATTCTGCGTCCTGTCGCTACTTTGGCAGCTACGCTGCCATATAGAGTGGCTCTAATTAAGACTCCTGAGCTGTCGAGACAATATGGAGACGTGTATCGGTTTCAGAACACAGCAGTCTTCTTTTTTATTTCTCACGTACTTTTTTTGTCACGAGGACCCATTCCGTTAATATGGAACATCTCGCGACATCGACTAGTATATAACATTCTTTTCCCCTGAACATTGAAAGCGCTGTACCGCGGTGAGGCGTCGCACTCTAGTCACAGTTCTTTCGCTGGATCAAAATGTGTTCGCACCTTTGCCGAGCTGAGGGCTTCTTTTGCTTTCTAAAATACCGCATCCTGTGCTTCACCCCAAATGGTTGGATAAGCGTCGCGGAGGCTTTTTTCGATAAAACGTAATTCGTAAGAAAGTATCTACAGTATCTATGCATGTTTTGTCAGCAGGCGCATGAAAATGAACCTTACGACACTCGCCATCTGGTTTGAAAGCTCCGATCCACCGTATTAAAAATAACTTTTTTCGTTCAAACATGATGTGTATATTATGTCCAATTACACGTGTCCTAACACCCTCTTTCCTCTAAAAAGATAGTCGTCCTCTGGATTCTGAAGACAAGAAAAGATAATCTCCATCGCCGCTGAAATATTTCGATCAGCGGGCTCGGCGGGCTCCGGGAATTGTAAAGTCCCCATTGTTCATTTACATGGTAAGACAGGCTGTTCGCTCTAGACATGATGGCAGACGCAGCTGTGGACGAGCGTTGAGCATGTTTTGCTTCATACGCGCATCTGCAGACAGTACGATGACCGTCATACGAGGAATACCTCGGCACACTTCATTACGCACGATGCATCGTGACCGTGCCTTCAAAGTGGCTGCGTCCAAAGGTCCGTCCGGCACACCGAGCCCCTCAACGATCACGGCGTGCTTACAACACGCGTGGCATCGAATGAACTGGTCGTCATCTAACTGCTCTCGAAGCTCGAGGCTCGAAACGTCGCTGTCCGTTTTGAAAACAAATTCAAGTTCTCGGTACAGCTTTCTGAAGAAGCAGTACCATCACACCTCAACCTTTTGTCCTAAATATGCCCGTCGCCTTCACTAGTTCATTTTGGACTAGTGGAAACCTCGCTATATAGACCTCTATCTTTTACACCCAACCTTGCCTGAGTTTCTCTCAGCCTTGTCCCTCAATGAACCTTCTTATCCGTCTTTCTGCTGGTTATGCGCGCGTGTTTTCAGCCCGGGATCTACCTGTACACGTGGTTCGCATGTGATGTCATTACATCGCACCTTTGCTCACTCTTACTTGTTTTGGCGACAGAAACAAATTCTGCACGGTGCGAAATGTACCGCGTGTAGCTGTACTAACGCTTCCATCCCACTTCGGACGGTCCGCAAACATCGGTTTCTCAACGTATCGCGCTGGGATTTACTACGGAGGTGCCCGAAGGTGGGGCATTCAGCGGTGGAGAGTATGAATACATGAGACCTCCAAAGTCAAAAAAAGAAAAGGTTTTGTCTATGGAATATTTATCCTCGAGCCTTTTTTCTCAAAATCATCGAAAAATCGTTCTAGGCTATTTTATGGTCTATTATGATTGCAAAATAGATGAAATGGAAAGAAAATACAATTGACTTACCTACACTTCACTTAATTGGGCCCATAAAAGCGCCACAATGCAGCAAGATGTCATTTAAGTGTACATGCCAAGTAAAGAAAAAAACGTTGTTGAATTTTCTCGATGCACTCAGGTGAGCCAATCTTTCCACGATTTTAGTGAAAGGTGCTACTACTTTCGGGTACCTCTGTAGTAAATCCTAGCGCGATACAGTAAGATTTCTGCGGACCGTTCAAAGTTGGATCGGAGCGTTAGTGTAGACGCTCAAGAGCAAGGCCTCCACGAGGATCGCTAGTGAGGCGTTGTGGCAAGCTGGTCACAGCTCGCGCTCTGTGGTGCTCGTCGCGATGGTCCAGGTCTGGACCCGGCGGCCAAGGGGCTCCCCTTCCCGAGACGTCTGGTCGTCGACGCGCTGTCCTCGTACGCGTTCAAGGACCAGGACCTCCTGATCAGGGCTCTGCTGCACCCTGCAAAGGCACGGCAACTAGGCTCCAGCATCTCCTACGAACCGCTCGACTTCATCGGTCACTTTGCACTGCACTTCGTTCTCGCCAGGTCAGAGTCAGGTGACCTTTGTTGGATTAGACCCTCCTTCTAGATTCACGTAATTAGGATTGTCAGTAATGCGAGACGTTAATAGTGTCATATTTAAAAGATGAAAAAAGAGTATCTGAAGAAAAAAAGAAATTCGACTTAATCGTATAAAAATGTGACTTTTTTTTCGAATAACATTCGCGTAGGGGGGCAGAGATAGAGGGGCATGACGCCTGACAGTCTGTGCTTCCCCCCTCCCCTCCTCTCCCTTGCAGACCAGCAGTACAAGCAAGGAACAATAAATAACATCATGTGCAAAACACGCGCGAAAAATAAAACGAAACAAGGCATATCAATGCGTCGATTACATTAATACAATGAAGCGTCTCCCATACAAAGGAGTAAAGAAAGAAAAAAAAATAGAATCTACATTAAAGATTACAACATCTCTTTCGCCTCTAATGTATGATATGGCAGGAACTGCTTTATCATCATTCTGAACACGAAACATGCAATCTATAACATCTCAGCAGAAAAAAAAATCGGGTTAAAGGTTCACAAAAAAGGGTAATTACATAAGTACTTCTTGTCCACACAATGCCGTTTACACAAAAAAAACTCCCATTATACAAAAAAAAAAAAAAAAACATGCATCATCACCTGTCATCAGCATCCCTCTGCAATTATTTTTGAAGCGATAAAACGACTGATCAGAGTCCATGCTTATATCTGTTCTGTTTAGAAGTTTTGTTTATTTGGAAATTTAAGGCTTGTCGACCCTAATTCGTTCTTACAGATGGCATTTTTTCACTTTGGATCTCGAAACGTATATGGGATGAGTCTGTATAATGGTGCGGTGTGAAGTGTGTTTCTTTGTCCATTGCAAAAGTCTGTCGATGACAAAAATTAAATCATAATTCGAAATAGAAGGGTCGGTGCTGCAACATGAATGCCTATTCCGCATGTTGCAGCCGTGGTGAGAGCAACTATACCTACAATGTGGTAAAATATAAAATCCTCACTGAACTAATCGTTGTTTATTCAAATGAAAGCGCCTCTGAGAAACGGGGACAACGAAGAGAAGCCAGCATGGAGAGCTTTCATCCGGATCGACATGAACCAACTAGCCCATTAGCCATTTGTTGCAACAGTTGTTAAAGGCCATAACTGCATAGTGCTGCCGTTGAATACCTGTTTCTTAAATCAAAGTCACTTTATTTTCTTTTCTTTTTTTATTAGACCTAAAAGGTTTGAGCAAGTTTGCGGCCACTTGTTCAATTAAAGTGGAACAATCGAACTTCTGCGTCAATTTTCTTCCTGTCCTGTCCCCTCCTTCTCTTCTCAGTCTTTTGCGCTTTCAAAACCACCGTCTACATGAGTAAACCCCCGTATAAGGGGCAGGCTGGGGAGGAGTGGCCATCTTCCGTTGGTTGCACCGAGTATGGCAATCAAGGTTCAATAACACGTTTGCTTTCTGTTCTCATAGAACGCCCGAGACTCCCTGCAGTAACCCGAAGCAACCAAAGCAGAAGAAATCGAGCAAGACGACAATGAGACGTTGGTTTCTGCCGTCCCTGTTTCTTTTGCGTTGCTTGCTTCGAGCTTATCTACCTAATCTCGGTTTGTTTTTTGTTTTTTTAGAAAATTTGCAGCGCCAGCTTTGGTAAGTTACAAGTTACGAATGATAACATAAACACCTGGAAATGAATCCGCTGGTTCTGGTTCTGCAGAGTATTTCAGCTGACGTGTGATTTAAGAAAAGCTGGTGCACGATACGCGCGTCTTTCACGGTCCTATGGATCGAGTCATGTTTTGGGACGCGCCATACTGGCTGACAAACATATCCTAGAAAGAAGGCGCGCGAGATTTTTAAAAACTTCAACGTGACTACCTGTTAGCGAACTACAAAGTGCCCAGTCGAGTGAGATTTTTTTTTTGCCTTTTTATTGGGATAAATAACGAAAATGTAGCATTTTTTGGGCACATATACGATAGGGTTTAAAAGAAGTTGATGACATGATTCCGTCCGATAGGACAGAAGCAGGTCATCGCCTCCTTTCGAAGCTGAATATCCGGTTTAAAACAAAAATTTTTTGTAACTCACGAAGAAATATTTTAATACTCCACTTCGTTCCTCTATGGTAAAAGCAGTCCAAAAGTTCTGGCGTCATATTTCAGGGAAGAATAGATCATTGGTACAAAGTTGTGTATTCGCAAATGAGTTTAATTATTTGTTAAACAGTTCATATAGACTACTACGGTGTTACTCGAGAGGGAATTTTTAATTTACTATCGAATAAATTGGATAGTAAGAAAAGCGTGGGCCCGGATATGATACAGAACGCTTTCCTGAAACGTTACCCTGAATGGGCATTTCTGCGTTTACGCGTCTAATTGAGAGTTTCTCTTCAGCATGTAGTTTTACCAGGCAAATAGAAGATTGCAAAAATCATTCTATTACTTAAGGACGGAGTTTGGAACAAAGCTTCAAACTACAAGCCCATTTTCTTAACGAGTGCAATTCGTAAAATTACTAGAGCGCATAATTTTTGCACGTATTTCATCCTCCCTGGATAAGCATAATTTTATTCCTAAGAACCAGCTTCAGGAGGTCACTTTCCACCACTACAGATTCACTCGCGGATTGGCCGAAACAGTTCATGAGAGAGGTAAAAAGAAACGTAATATCTTTTAGACTTCGCTAAGGCTTTTCACGAGGGGTCTCATCGGAAATTGTTTGCTAAACTTCCCAACATAATTTAAAACACCCAAATTGCATATTTGATAACTGCTTACCTTACAGCTAGAGGGCGTTCATTACAGCAAACTTATTCTTCTTATTCTTATTCACTGATGGCAAGGGGGTTTCGTAGCCTCACTTTCTTTGCACTGCGGAGTGAATATAGATTTCACATTTATATATTCTAAGCTTAAATGGTAAAACAAAATGGCTAGGTGGCGCAAGCTACCGCCCGATCCAAAGGGCTCAGCCGTATTCATCCATCATCCATCCATCCATCCATGACTCGAACAAACTTTCCGACTCTTCAGGCTTGGATCAGTGCTTGGACCTCTTCTGTTTACATAAATGATACACCGACTGGCATTGATCTTTCTCTCAGACTGCTGGAATGATCGTATTATATATACAAAAAATAAGCGATAACAATAACAATACTAAATTACAGAAAGCACTTACTGCTATCCAAAGCTGGACAAAAAAAAAAGGCAAATGAAAAAAAATACATGAAAGAGCTTCGATGACTATATCATGTAGCAAAATCCCATTTAATTTGATTATTTACTAGATGGACGAATCTTAAACCGCGTAAACGAGTACAAATTTTTAGGGATTTTGTTTGATACTAAACTAAGCTGAAAACGAGGAACCAAATTTTTTTATAAAAAGAGAATTCTTAAGACAGTTAGAAGCACTTCGGTTTCACTGCGAAGCGAATTAAGATGTGCTGAGTGTGATACTAAGCTCCTTGCCTGTTTTGTTGGGCCTGCTTTAAATAACGCGAGCTCAGTGTGGTGCCCTTCCACCAAGGATGGAATTAACACAGCAGAAGGTATACTCAAAAGCTAGCCGCTTGGTTTATTTTTAACATTTATGACATGAGATCAACATTCACCGAATTAGTAAGGCCTCAGCATCGGTCAAAAGCTCTAAGTGATTGATTTAAAGCTCTTTATAGTATATTGAACGGCTCTCTTCACATAGATTTCTCTGATCATTTAAAACCATTATTATGTGGGTCTTCACGGTTAAATCATTGCCGCGGGCTTTTAAGCAATACAGACTGCTCTAGATTTTCTTTCTTCCTTCGGGCAATTCAGGAATAGAATAATTTAACAAATGTTACTGAAATGTTACCAACCAAAGGTGGGAATTCTTTTTTTTTCTAGTTTTTCTAACGCTCAATCTTACCCCTGCTATGAGTGGAAGTTAAGCCAACTGTCGCGTGTGGGGTCTAAGATCAACTTGCACCACTCGCAGAATTTGAGAACTAAGTGTTCCGATTTTCTCAAAGCACCTGGGACTGGGTGAAGAACGACAAGAAGTAATAGAGCAAGCAACAGAATGGCAGACGGCAACGTCTCAAACTCCTTTCTCTTTTACTTTGGATTCTTCTTGTTCTCAACCCAGTGTCAGCTGGCTTAAGAAAACGGTAAACCAGCTCGCCTGGGCCATTTCTGTTTTCTCGTCAAGAAGTGTTCGTCCTGCAAACTTGTGGCCTTCGAAGACTGCAGCCGATGTTGCGATCGGATGTCGGCAGGCACATGGTGAGGAACGGCACACGAAAGGAGAAGGCGTCCATGCACAACCTGATGACCGAGGCGCTGCGGCAGGAGGCGTGCGCCTTCCTGGCCGCCAAGAACCATCTGGACCTGTACGTCTTCTTGGACGACGGCCAGGAGAAACGGGCCATGACCGAGTATGCAACTGCGGCCAGGGCTCAGGTGACGTGGCCAAAACATGCCATACTGACTCATCGTCGGCATCATCATCATCATCGACGCGTCCTTGTTTCCTTTACCCTTCCGTACGTCTTCAGGTGTGGCCAAGCGCCGAGATGTTCCGGTGGCGCCCCCTAATGGTTTCTGTCTGTGACGTCATGACTAGGATTTGCCTCGCCGTGACGTCGTGGGTTGTGATCCAGGCTATATTTATCATCAGTTTCGAGCGACAAGTTCGATGGTGTGCATAAAAAGCACGATGGAAGCTTAAAGCACTTGCGTTCTTAAACCAACACCGTCGAAGTTGACAGTCTGGCGTTGTTCTTATTTCCGTTGATGGAGGCAGAATTAAAGGGGCGATGCAAGTAATTTTTGTACTTTTCGGAAATACCGCTTAGAACGGATCCTTGATGTTAATGACCTATATGAAACACGCGTTTGTTTTTCACCCCACGCAGTAGACGTCGCGGGAACAATGAAAAAAAAAACGAGCAGCGTTCAGCCCCTCAACTCGTAGCCAGAACAAGCCGCCACTTGACCTGGAGCCAATTATATGCCGCCAATGCTGATCATAGGCACGCGCTGGGGTCGGCAAAGCACAGGGCACGCGCTGAGTTCCACACGTTGCTACGGTTCGGCTCTTGTCGATCGTCATTGCAGCGATTGGACACGGGCTACTACCCGAATGCTTCTCGAGCTATCGATTATCACGAGCCCAAATCGAGTGCTCACGCAATGCTCGGGTCCAATCATTGAGCCGCATTGAAATATTGTCACTGGGGGTACTGCGACTGCCCAGCCACGCCGTCAAGTTTGGCGAAGGAGAGATTGAAAAAAAACGCTCGCTGTCCTTGAAAGTACAGCGCAACAAAGGAGTTTCTTGGCCAGTGGCGTTGCTTGCGAGTATCCTTGAGTCCCACTAGTGCCGGTAAGCTCGTGTAAAGTGAATAACTTTCCAATTGAATGTCGTCAACGCTATCAGAGCTGCTGGCGCGAGCATGGGGTTTTTATCTCGAAGATCACTTGCACGTGTTCGCGCACAAACAAAACCTTAGGTATGCTTGAGAGAAGAGCGTGTTGGTTTAAGTCATCGATGAAGAAAGAATAAAACAATAGACCGATCTCACTAATTGTTGGGCGCATGCGTAATGCCGCCATAACTTTAGTTCACAGGAGGCAGACGGCCGTGCACGCGAGGGCTCGTGCCTTCTCGTGCTCTACACGCGAAGAGCTCCAGCGAGGTTGTCGCACGTGCCCAAAGACTAAAGTTCCCTCGCTGCATTGCGGCAGCGGTGGCGTAGTCAAACTGGCCGGTGAGATCGGTCTATTAAAACAGGGACAACACAACCACATCTTTCGAACCTTAGAACGCGCTTGCTCCAGTACCTTTGACAGCGTCGTATACTATTAGCCCCGAGAGCGAACACAAGCGTCGCTGCGGTCGCCACGCCCTGATTGGGTGAGGTGTACCGTGACGTAAGGGGGAGGACTCTGCTCCGCGATCTCGCATCGGCTCGCTTCCCAGCACCGGGTTCCTGGTTTGGCGTTGTGTGCCGCAAGCTCTTCGAGGAGGTGGACTTCGTTTACCCGGTGTGCAAGACGTTGAGTTAGGCCGATATTGACGTGCTTTTTCCGTACATTTTATAAGCCTGCTTGCCCCCTTTACCTTTAAAATTGCGTTACAAATCCCGAAAGCTATCGGCGGAGGCAATTCCGCCGATGAACCTCCCCGTCCGTCCACACGACACAAGGCAATCTTGCGAGGGGTCGGTGAAGTGGTGGCACAACTGTTTCAGACGCTGGAATTCTGTTCCTTGCATGTTCATGATTTAGGACGATATTACATCCCGCTTTCAAGGTATTTAAAGTGGCATTTATATCATGGGGCTTTGGGTGGTCGGCAAATTAGCTCGCGACCCCAAACTCTGCGCTGCCACTCTGCATGCGCTGGTTCGCGGATGTTTTAAAGGCCCTGCGTCTGATGATCTTTGAAGTGCTCGTGGAACAGGGTTGTTTTACGTAAATGTATCTTCTTCGTGAATTAATTATATAGTTTACATACGTATGCCGGCATATTTCTTAGAAGATGCACAATAAAATTAGTTTGTATGGTAGCAGCGAAAACGACCGAATTGCCCCCAGTTGCCTGTATGATATGTATTGAACTGCTCAAAATATGCACAGCAATAGTGCCGTAATTTGAAATGTTTATACTTTTTCCAGACATTCTTTTTTCCAGCCTTGGGTATTTGGAAAATTCACCGTTTTGTCTGAATTGTCATTTCCAATTAAAACAAAAACTGCTGCAGGTCCCCAAAAGCTTCCTCAGCTTCCAAACTCCCTACAGCTGGACTCTCTGACAACAAAGAAAAACAGGAGTAAAAAGCAAGCATTTGAACGTCTGTCCTGTGGTAGATGCAGCACTAGTAGCAGAAAATGTGGAACCTTTGAAGGGCGACAGTCTGCGTGAGAAAAGCTTCGAATATTTTAGCTTCAGGACAATTCAATTTAAGTAAAATCTCAATTTTAGGGCTTAATGGACTAATAACGAGCTAGACACCTTCGCTTACGTTTGTTATACATTACTTGAGGGTTGATATAAACAAGTCCACAGATACCACCCGTGTAGTTCATTGAAATACTATCCGAATCCAGCAAAGGTCAAATGTGAGAAATGTATATATAAATGTTCCTTGTTTTTTTTTTTTTTTTTTTTTTACTTTGCGCCTGCACTTGGGCTGTCTTACTTGTGATTTTCTCCACATGGCCCAGACTGTATTTAGCATGTTGCTCGAGCAGCATGCAGCTTTTCTGCTTCGGCGATCTTGTTTAAAAACAGAGATACAAAAAATACTATACATAACCTGCCAAGTCATTCAGACCATTAGCAGGATTTATTGTGCGAGATGTAAATCTATAATGCTCCCGCAATCGTGGCCATATTTCTTTATTTTCATATACCAGCTGCGATTCATGCGTTGCCTGCCCTGTCAATCATGCTGAAAATGTTGGTTGAAGTTTCGCCTGTAGCTGCAGGTCATACCTCAATAAAGGCACATATAAAAATTTACACTTCCTACGAAAAACACGCCAAAAAAAAAAGATTAAATAGAAACGAGCGCGCCGACAGCTAGCGTCGTCACAGCCTCCACAGGGCGAGCGGGGAGAGTCGGTAAAATATTCTCTCCTCGCCGTGACGTCACCCCGGTTCGCCGTAAGGGGGCGCCACGCGAACTTCTCGGGGCTAATACTCTATTTCACCTTATGATGTACCGCAGTAAAGGCTACAAGCGCGAGGTCCTTGCTCTGGGGCACATCCCGGCGGCACAAGCTCTCGTGCATTAAAGGCAGCTGCCAACGCAATGAGCTCGCGCTTCTAGCCTTCGCTGCGGTACAACATAAGGTGAAACGGAGTATAAGTATAAAACTGAGTATAGTGAGCGTTAGGCCAATCATAAAAAGCAGTGGAACGCCGACCACAACGACGTGTTTGGTTGCGCACGTCGCCTTTGCGGGTTAAAACTCTTAAAAAAAAATCTAAAAAGCAAAAAGAAATGTTTAACAGTTTGGTTGGGACAGTGTCAAAAAATAAATTTTACGAAAAATGTATAGAGCAGTATTGAGGGCTTGTTTCCACTTGTTTTCTCTCTCGGCATTTCGGACGCGTGGAAGAGAGCTGCATCGGCTTCGCCCTCACGACCGAGATGATCATTCCGAAATGACCAGTGACGTCATGGGCTTTGCGCGCAGAATTTCAAATAAATCTCTCGCCGTCAATATTGCTCTAAATTTTTTTTCACGTAAAAATTATTTTTTTTTGCACTCGTGTCCCAACCAGGCTGTTTAAAAATAACTTAAAAATAAATAATAAAAATAGCCTTCCACTATTTCCACTTTAGCAAAGCGGACGCGGGTGAGGAGGCGAAGAGGGTCTCGCCAGCTCTCCAGCGTTAAGTCTGCTAAAGTGGAAAGAGCGAAGGTATTTCTACAGCTTGGCTGGTGCTACTAACTGCACGAGAGCGCACGATAGAGCGCCGACGGGAGAGCGCACGACATGAGAGCGCGTGTCATTAGAGCGCGCGTTACGAGCGCGCATCTGCGCGCCTGGGGAATGATCCATTTTTGGGGTCAAATGGAAGCCAAGACAATTACAAAACGCCTGTGCAAAACGCAGAAGAAAAGCTCAGTGCAGGAAAGATGAAGGGAAAGCTCACCATCCTTTTGACAGAAGCAGAGAAAGGGACACGCACAGCATTGGAACGCGCTAGAATTCAAAGTGTTCGTCCTATTAAATTAACGGCGAAATACACGAACATGACACAACTATGCAGTGCGACCTACCGTAGAGCGTAGTAACATATAGGAGGTATTCACTGGACGCAATATTTGAGGGCGATGTTTAGAGCGCATGCTCAGAACGAGCTCACATTAATGGCCTGCTAAGACAGGCAACCTTGATGGTGCTAAATGCACGCTCCAAAAGGACTGCGGAAGCTTGCCGTCAGCACGCGCTCAGCAGCAGCGCGCACGGATATGGCCCCCAGTGAATACTCGGAGTATTCAAAGGCGGCCATAGCTGTGTGCGCGAATGCTGAGCGCGTGCTGATGGCGAGCTTCCACAGTTCTTTTGCATCGTGCATTCCGCACCATCAAACTTGCCGGTCTTAGCAGGCTACTAATGTGAGCTTGTTCTGAGCATGCGCTCTAAACAGCACCCACAAATATGGCGCCCAGTGAATACTCCCTATACACTAGGTGAAGTTAGTGTTTTATTGTTGGAAGTAAGGACCAATTTTAACATCAAATAATCATTCGATCGAATTAAGTGTGCACTGAATTCAAATGAAGACAGCCTTGCGCGACAAATTAAGCTGGGCGAAGTGGCACAAGCGTGTTGAACGCAGCCGTCTGCCGTAACACCATTGGATAGGATTTATGTTGTTCGGGTTATCTATCCCAACTGAATAGCGCAGTTATCATCGCTGCCGCTCAGAGAGTCACTCTTGAAATTGATCACTAGTTTCACCCTCGAGACAATTCTCATTTTTGTCCCCCAGAAACAACAAAACAAAATGGTTTACATATCAATATCGGTGAAACAATATATTTACTTTGGCCATGAGCTTTGTTTTCTAGGATTAAACAGTTTAGTTTTTTTACTGAAAGTAAGGTCATTGGGAACTATCGTTCGCTCAGGTGTTGCGTCATTATCACGTTTATTTCGGGCAGACGTCTGAAAAACTTTGAATTTGGAACGTTCTAGAAATCAATCCGTTCGTACCTACAGTTAATGACGAAATATGAAGCACGCATATTGTGCAGTGCTGGCTGTCGCGTAACAGTTAATTTAATGTATAACGACTCAGTTCCTACAGAAGGAAATCTGATACTTGAACCTTCTGCCACTGCGAAAGGCATTGGTGCAGCAGTTGTTCAGCGCTCTCTTGTCGCGCGCACTCCTGGCGCCCTCCCGGTGCTACTGTACTCCGTTTCACCTTTTGTTGTACCGCAGACAAGGCTAGAAGCGCGAGCTCCTAGCGTTGGGAGCTACTCTTAACGCACGAGAGCTTGTGCCGCCTTGATGCACCCTAGAGCAAGGAGCTCGCGCTTGTAGCCTTTCCTGCGATACCGTTATACACGCCGTCAACCCATCCACCATGCATATGGGTTTTTATTCTTACGGTGCAAAATGTCCTGAAATGTCTGCAGCCCTCAACGAAGCTTTGTATTTACGTTCTTTGTTTCGGTTTGTAATCGCAAAAGAATGCTTAAGGAAGTTTCAAAGACCAATATAAATTAGTTTTATGACACGTATATCGATGTAAAAAGTTTTTCAGGAGCATCGTCCTAATACAAGGGTCGTTCATAGCCTAATCACACTTGCGAATGACGGAATCTTCGTTGAATATGCCGCGTCCGAAATTACGTATTTGGCGCATGCGCAGCAGTTCCACCTATTATGGCGGCTGTAACGGGCTTGTAGCTGGAGAGCCACGCTAGATGACCACACTTTTGCGCTAGTGCTGCAGTCGGATGTTCGTCCGACTGCACTCACACAACTTTCTACGCTAACGGAGTTTAGGAAGCTCAAAAAGGATAGTTGATCCCCACCCCAGCCCGTTTCGAGCTGAATGAGCATCGTACCGGCGTGCGGTCGTGTATCACTACTGCGTGAAGCACGTTAAAGGAGCGGTGCAACGATATTCAATTGGAATGTTTTTCACTTTACACGAGCTTACTGGCACTAGTGGGACTCAAGGATACTTGCACGCAACGCCACTGGCCAAGGAACGCCTTTGTTGCGGTGTAATTTCAAGGACAAAAGCGATCATTTTCATTCAATCTTTCCTCTGCAAAATTTGATGACATAACGTGAGGATCGCAATACACCCCAATGACGATATTTGAATGCAGTTCATAGACTGGACCCGAGCATTGCGTGGGCACTCGATTTAGGCTCGTGATGATTACTAGCTCGAGAAGCATTCAGGTAGGTGTAGGGTGCCTCAATGTCCTTCTGTTTAGGGTGATGCCACCCTTTGTAGTACCCGATGCCGACAGCACGCGCTCACGGGTAAAATACAAAGAAATCGACGAAAACAAAATGTCGCCGTAGCACAGTCAGCGCCACGAGCGCGTGCAGGGACACGTTTCTTCACGCGCTTCTGAACAAAAAATAAAGATAAAAGTGTGAGACAAAATGGCCAGATGTCTCCATTCTAAGCAAAGCGCACATGAAAGCACCCTAGGTATAGGTGGCCCGTGTCTAATCGCTGCAACGACGACAATAGCCGGACCATAACAATGTCTGGAACTCAGCGCGTGTCCTGTGCTTTGCCATCCCCAGCGCGTGGCTACGATCAACATTGGCGGCATATAATCGGCTCCAGATCACGTGGCCGCTTGTTCTGGCTGCGAGTTGAGGGGGTGAACGCTGCTCGTTTTTCTTTAATTTTTTTCTGGGACTTCTACTGCGTGGGGTGAAAAACGAACGCGTGTTTCATAGGTCATTAACGACAGGGATCCGTTCTAAGCGGTATTTGCGCAAAGTAAAAAAAATTGTTGCATCGCCCCTTCTCCAGGCTGGCGATTGTACCGCACTGGCTGAATTGCTCCCCTACAGCTGAGAGACAAGTCGCCCGTTGAGACAGACTAACTTTCGGCTGTAAACATACACACAGCAAAACGATAGCAGCGGTGTGTGGACACGCATAGGCAAATCTTTGAAGAAAAAAAAAACAGACATAATTTTGTGTTTGTCGGATTCTTCGTTTCTTTCGTATAAGCCTTGTAATGGAACAGTTTCAATAACGCAATTTGACAATTAAAAACCTCCGTGAAACCTAGATCGCAAAATTCTGCCTCTGTTTGAAAAAGGCTCTCTTTTTCAGGACGCCGCGCTTGCTTCCACAGCATGCACGTCGGTCCATCCGCAGTCCAAGGACTCGGTATTTTTCGCCCGGAGTGCTTACAGGGATAAAGGGAAAGCTACATAAAGAACGAAAACGGGATATTGTGAAATTCATTGAGTGATAAGGGAAAACCCTTGTTCCTTCAATATTTCTTTCTTTCTTTCTAGACCGTAGAAGGAAAGGGCGAAAAACATATTTTTCGTGGTGCAGATTGCAACAAGGCGCTACTCACTAAAAGTAACTGCATTTCCAACATCGGGTAGCAGGTTGTTCCAATCGAATATTGTAAGTGCGCAGCAGTACGCTGACCCTGTTTGTGTTTTCAGGACTATGCGGGACGGAGTTCCCTGGCGAACCAGAAGAGTTTCCTGCACAACATCTTCAAGTCGGTCGCCGGGGCTGTGTACGTCGACAGTGGCTACGACCCCGACGTCCTCGAACGAATCTATCTGCGCTTGTTCACGCCCTACTTGGACGCCCTGCCCACCACTTTCTGACCACTTGACACTCGGCGATCAATAAAATGCGAGAAATAGCTGAGATCATACGCCAGCTATACTTCTCGGCGTTTTTTTTTTTTTTTTTTTTTAATTATATTGCCATGTTGCAACTTAACCCGAGACTGGAGTATGAAATAGAAACTTAAACATAGAAAGGACACAAAACAGAAAATAGGAGAACGTCTCAAACGCAGCTAAAAATTTTATTCAGTCCCACCTCCTTATATGCAGGGCTGTCAACGCGAGGGAAATTTCTCAGATTAAGGTAATATTCGGGTCTATGTGGGAATAAGGGAAATCTCGCTTGTTTGAGGGAAATTTTGGGCACCATATATATCGAGAATTTTATAGGTTCATCATGATTTTTTTTATAGATAACATGGGATTTTAGCGGCTTTCGCTACGTTTGAGTTATTTCCTCCAGTTGTTTGGTGGGTTCTGGTGCGACCATCTGACAACACTGAGGAGTACTAGGCTAGGTGGGGCTAGATACCTCCCGTTATTTATAAAGGGAAAAGTCGTTAGCATACATCAATCTATCCAATGTTTTTCGGCAAAATCAGTTTTCATCGCCCCCTGAAAACTACGGAGGAAGATGCCAAGTCGAAGATTTTGAGAGCGCCGCTGTGCCCCCTCGAAGGAAAAAAAAAAAAAAGCTTGAGTTCTAAAAGAAATACTGGAATGTCTGGAGATATATACTCACCATGACTAATAAGATTTCGTGAAGTGCCGTCGTGTTCCCTGTGTTCGAGTTTGAAAACTTTCCTTTGTGTTACACCTTTCGTTTTTAACTATTATAAAAGCGCTAAAGAAGTTACTAAAGCAGTATCGTATTTTGATGACGTGTACAACGTCTAAGGCGAAGCTAGGGTTTCATTCGTAAGTTCGAATCCCCCGGTAACACTTTCCCTCACCAGGTTTGCTTTGGCCACGGTTTTGGCCCGATAAACTAATTTATTGCGAAACATACGCAAGGCGCAAAGGCTATGCGCAGAGAAAGTCGTCTGCTTCTTGCGCAGGGGTTGCGGTGACGTCAGCACGACGCCGAGCTCTGATTGGCTGTGGCTGAAAAGAAAGTGGGTAGACCTCGATGCTAGATGCCTTCAGGTCTACCCACTATTTTTTTTTTTTTTTTTATCAGCCAATAAGAGCTTTGCGTTCTAACATCGCGGCCCTTGTGCAAGAAGCAGACAAACTTGCGCTCCGCTCATAATATATTTCTCATAGTAAAAAGTGGAAGTGATGCAGAAAACAACGAACATTTAGTATTATATATTATATACGGCTTCACACACATTGCACTCGCAAAACACATCCACACGGCGTCGATTCTTGATCGGTATCCAAGCGTGCGAAGGCACCGAGACACAGCGCTTCGGCGCTCCAAGGAAGCTTTGAACAAGCCGCGAGACCGGTGAAACTTGCTTTCGACGAGTTGTGCCTTTTTTCTGTGGCACTGTGCTTTCGTAAAAATTTCCACGTGTTCTCAGCGGCAAGTATCACGACTCACACACAATCTTCAAAAACGTCTTCGGCGAATGTCGATGATCAAGTAGAAACCGTGTCTTTAGCACGCTGCCATGGCCCATCGGCCTCTGCAACGCTAGCAGAACGAAAAAAAAAAAAACGGCACGCAAGATGGCCGTCCGGTGGCCGCACTTGTGCTGCAGCCAAGGAGGATAGAAGCTTAGGAGAGGGCATGACGACAGCCGTGTAGCCTCCACAAGCCATGCTCCCTTGACGCCTCGCCTCTTTTGTGACCACATCACGTGACCACATCACGTGACCGTAGCTAGCTTTCGTCTAGCTATGGGGTACTAGAATACACCACAGGCTAGCCTTCGATCTGATAAAACCTACCGGACGGAGCGCGCGCAAGGAGTCCCTCTACAATCAACCATCCATCTCACACGTGACATGTCACGCGCACCAATTGCCATAGAGATCTACGATCACGTTGGCCACAACATCGTTTAAACTTTTTATGATTAGGCTTCACCATTATTGCAACGTGCCCTCTCCTAGTACTTCTAACTATGGTGCCTGGAACGCGTCTCCGACTGGTGTGTTTACCGCGGCCAAAAAAGTGGTCCCTTGATTTCCGCCTGATGACGTCATAGAAGTGTCATGTTGTCGCCGGTCGCGACCCTGGCGGCGTCCCAACAGCTGTGGTGTATGTAGCAGATGCCTGTTCTGCTGCAGGTCGCTTTCCACTGTGACAGTTCACGGAAGCTAGAGCAGCCGGAGTTGGGACGCCTAAAGGGACTCCGTGACGACAGCGACACTCGCGTTCGCTCGTGCTTTTCGCCAGCATTTCTACGGCCAACCGCCAGGATCGCGACAGGCAACAGCATGACACTCGCGTCATTTGTTGCCACATCGGGACCACTTTTGATGTATGGGCGGGATAGGACGCTAAACACACCAGTCGAAGACGCGCTCCAGGCACCATACTTCTAACCTCCTTGGGTGCAGCGAACAAGCGTGGATGCGCGATCCAGCAATTGTCATAGCGATCAGTGACTCTCCCTTTTATCCCTTTTAGAACGCTAGCCGAAGTCCTGAGCAAAACTTAAAAAAACACATGCAAAGAAAAAATAATCTTTTTTTTTTTTTTTTTAACAGCCTGGTTGGGAAAAGGAAGTCGTAAAACCAATTTACAAAAAAAAAAAAAAATGTTGGCTCCCGCGAGTGCCGCGGAAAAGTGGTCTCTATTTGTCACGTGACTAATCCGTATTTGTCACGTGGTGCTTGCGCTGTTTCGGAAGCTTCCTATGGCCTACTTCTTCATCTTTGTTTGAAGCCTAAAAAAAACTAAGATGAGTAAGTAACTTGTAGAGCCCAAAGGAAGCTCCTGAAAAAGCGCAAGCGGGCGTGATAAACTTGTACGGCGGCGGCGACGGCGGCGTGGAGAAACGCGTTGAAGCGGCGACGCACAACGCTCAGTGTGCGGCAGCGGAATGACTTGTGGCTATTTGTGGCGGCGGCGACGTTGGCGACTCAGCGCGGCGGCGCACAGGCCGCACAGTGCCGCACAGGCCCTGTGCGGCCCATGTGTGCGGCTAAAACTAGAGCACTATATACACGTTTGCAAGTCCGGCCTCAGGGTGCCGCCGTCTTCCACTGTGGGGTGCGCTCTTGGGCGCGGCCATAATCCGATTACGACGCCTTAGCAAGGCTTCGTAATCGGATTATGACTGGTCCAAGCGCACCCCAGCCAAGCAAGATGGCAGCGCCCTGAAGCCGGACTTGCAAACGTGTATAGCTCCTTCGGAGCAGAGTAGCGCAATCTAGAACGCCGTCTCTCGGCGACTAGCGGCGAACGCCCGGGGGTTCCAACTGCGGTCAGAAATGCATGGGGAACGTGAGAAAATCGTTGTTTCTTCAGTTTTGTGGGGATGTGCAGAATGGAAATCATTTTTGACATAATAATGAAACATTTTAGAATAATATGCGATAAGTTTTGTGCCATACAAGGACGTAACGTTTTTTTTAAAAATTGCCTGAGCGGCATCATGCAGCAGACGACACGGCGACGTCACACCATTCACGTGACCCGCTCCGGCCAACCCGAAAAGCCCATCTCCGCTGCGAGCAAAAATCGTCTGCTTCAAACGCCATTGCCTTGGAAATTGCCTTCTCAAAATTTGCACACGCATCCGATATTATTAAAACTTTGACAAAGTGTTTAGTGCTTTACTAACTTCACGACAGACTAGTTTTGAAAAGTGTGAACTCGCCGTTCATTTTTTAATCAGCCGTGTTGTATCGATCTCCATGTATTCTCCCATAGGGCGGTCCGCCTCTTGGAACCCTGAGTACCACGTGACTCGCGCCGAGCCGCTCTGTCGGCCATCTTGTCGGCAAAACACGAGGTTCAAAGGATTGCGCTACTCTGCTCCGTAGGTAGCTAAAACCCCCTCCAGTTCACTTTAGTGCGGCACTATGCCCGCGTTGCTATGCCCGCGACTCCCGCGGGCGCCATAGCGATCCTACATACTACACTTTTGTTTTTCGCCAACTTCACTTTTTTTTTTCGCCATACCTCTAATTTTTTTCTTCGTTGTAAATTCGTTTTATAATATTTGTCTTTTTTTTTATCTAGAATGTTAAAAAAATAAAGTTTTGTTTTTCTTTTATGCAAAACGACGCCTCTAGCGGCGATTATGGACAACGGTCAAAGTGAGCGAGCCAATGAAAGCGACAGAGCGGCAGTTTTCCTAATCATTCGAATCTTATTTACATCGCAATCGCAACTGGGTGCTTGGACGCGTTCTGACTGGTTTCAGGGAGTTTCCAGCAAGTCATTTATCCGTCGTGACCCGAATTCGAAAAGGACCCTAGTGTTTGTTTTCTTGGCGTGCTCGTGATCGCCTCCGCATTCCCAGGTTACGAACGCTTTTGCATTCGACCACATCGCAAAGGTAAGCTTGACTGCGTCGTTGTTCGCTTTTGGCGGAAACTCGTGCTTCATGACATTCGATAAAATTCTGGAAAAAAAAGAAACAGCTAAATCTTGTTTCGAAATGTCTTCTGTCGTGTCGCTGCACAACACGAACACGAGAGCGGACTTGAACTTTTTCTGTAAGTGCTTAGAACTAGGACAAGAAGCTGTGCAATGTCAAAGGAAGCAAAGTGCTGTCTACTCCTACTTTGGTCTTTGCGTTTTGCGCGCTATATTCTGTTTTCTTCGAAGCATTGGCAAAAATGAGCTAAGCTGCTGCTGAAAGTAAAAATAATGGCTAAGCTGCTGCGCTCTACAAATGCTAGGAAACACCGCAATTCTGGTGGTTGACTGTAAAAAAGTGGGTCACTTTGAATCTATTTGTTGCACAAAACGTCATTCTGCAGGGCTGGTCATTCTTCCTATTGTGACGTAAAGTTAATGTGGTAAATGGTGTGCTTACAGCAGAGAAGCCTCCAGTTATGGCAGTCCAAATCATGTTGGAATAAGCTCTCTGTCGTTTTATGAGCCAGTTTTAGTTTGCCAGCTAGAAGTGCATGGTGTCACTTCACGCAAATATTAGAGTTACCCAAATTTGTCACCTTATTCCTGCGACGACGACAACCACTTTGGTTGTTGCTGAAATTGGGACCCTGTTTTCCCTCTTCACGTAAGCACTCCTAAAATTCACCGGCTGCTCGTAACTTACATCCTACGAGTTCATTTTTATGACGGGCGCGTAGCCTCGACCGCTTAGCCACGGTGCCGAGGACAAATGAAACATCCACTTGGTCCTTACTTGACTTTTGATCTGTTTCTTAACTTAACTTTCAGATGGTTAGAATAAAGCGAACGAGAACTGCCAAGGTCAGAAAGGTGTTCAGCTCCAGCAGCGAGAACGACTCGAGCGAACCCGATGCGAAATCTAAGGAAAGACGGACGAAAACGGCGCGCCACGTCGACTCCGCGCCGACGTCCAACTCCCCGGGACCGAATCCCAGCGCCGTTCCCAAGTCGGCCGAAGAAGTCCCGGCCAAGTTTGGTCGTCGGCGAAATTCCCGACGTATTGCCACCGCCCGTTCGGACGACGACTCGCTTGGTGCCGCAGCCGAACCGTCGACGTGCGTCTCGGACTCCTCGATGGAGCTGTGCAGGACGTCCCTGGGAACGCCGCCGTATGCCACGACAGTGGACGCTTGCGTGGCGGAGACGCCGCCGGCCAAGCGACGTCACGACTCGCCCGGCCGCCCAGGTTCAAACTCGCCACGGGCCTCGACTCCCAAGGCCTCGCCGGAGTTGACGTCGCCCGGAGACGTCTTGTTCAGCGAGCAGTCGTTCAGCGAGCAGTCGTCGTGCGACGAGCAAGTCAGGGGCCAAGTGTCGGCCATCATCGACTCCTTGCCCGGCGTGGATGGGCTCGACTCGTCCGAGGCTGGCACCGTGGCCGGTCCGGCCGACCCGGACCGTCCTCTCGAAGGTGAGGGCTGGGTGAGGCCATGCCGGAATCTGTAGCCGAAAAGCGATCCTGGTGAGATCATCTCATCGGCTTAATTTTGGCCTAAAGGCTGCTTCACGCACTTACTGACGACCGTGTGCCTTAAAGGGAAGCCTGCAACACTTCTTTTAAAAAATAAGATAGAGGTTGATTCTAGCATCATTCTATCCCGTGAATCTGAATATCACGATCGTTTTCACCCAAGATAAAACTAAACGCAAGAAAACATAAAAACCTCCGACCAGTTGTGACGTCGTAAGGAGATCTTTCGGCCGCCAAGCGCGTGTTGCTCGAAGGCCGCGCGTGCAATTGCCAGCTTGCCAGGTATCTTCCCCCAGACTGGCACCAGTCGTTGTGTCTTTTAGAGCGCAGCTCTTAGGGGCCCGTTCCCGGCTTGAGCGGCGTCGCCGTCGGCGTAACCAAGGTCATCCCAAGGTCACGTGGCCCCCCAAGGTCACGTGGCCCCCCAAGGTCACGTGACCCGTCCCCCAAGGTCACGTGACACTCAAAGTCACGTGACCCCCGAGGTCACGTGACCCGCCCCTCGAAGTCACGTGACACCCCCAGGTCACGTGACCACCCCCAGGTCACGTGACCCCCGCCGAGGTCACGTGACCTCCCCGATGACGTCATCGTCACTGATGACGTCATCGGATCCGCATCGTCATCATCACTGATGATGTCATCAGTGATGATGACGTCATCAGTGATGATGACGATGCGGATGCCGGTGGGGTCATCAGTGACGTCACTGATGACGTCATCAGTGACGATGCGGATGCCGGTGACGTCATCAGTGACGTCACTGATGACGTCATCAGTGATGATGACGATGCGGATGCCGGTGAGGTCATCAGTGACGTCACTGATGACGTCATCAGTGATGATGACGATGCGGATGCCGGTGACGTCATCAGTGACGATGACGTCATCGGGGAGGTCACGTGACCTCGGCGGGGGTCACGTGACCTGGGGGTGTCACGTGACTTCGGGGGGCATCCGCATCGTCATTGTCATCATCACAGATGATGTCACCAACATCCGCATCGTCATCGTCATCATCGCTGATGACGTCATCAGTGACGTCACTGATGACATCATCGGCATCGTCACGTGACCCCCCCAGGTCACTTCACGCCCCCAGTATCCTTCCCTCCTCCTCCTCAAGAGCTGCGCTCTAATTCGGTGTTACAGGGAGTTGTAAACGGCTTTCACTTTTTTTTTCTTAACTTTTTAAATATAGCCAGAGCGCACGTGTGTAGCTTTGAATGGCGCCGAATATGCACGAGATTGGAGATTCCGAAAACACCTTTTGTGACGTCACGCCCCAGGTACATTGAAGATAATTGTCTGCAGCCTCCACGAATCAAGTTTAAAAATAATTTCGATAATCGAGATCTTGGAGGTCATGTGGAGACAATTTCAGTGCTTTTCCTCAAGTACAAAACTGCTTCAGCTTTCCTTTAAGACCTCTTGGGATCTCTTCTCACGAGAGAGCACACTGGCGCCATCTATCAAGTAAACCACTTGCAGTTTCTGTATACTTTTTTTACGTCTCATTTTTTGTTTGTTTTTTGTTTTGAAAAATGTTAGACAATGTTAGAAACAACCATTTCTCGTAAATAGTATGTACGTTTAATCTCGCAAATGCCGCAAAACCTTCACTCCATTGGAGTACAGTTCCAGGTTCACCTCGTAGATGGTGCACCATGCCAGTTTGTTCTTGTCGTAAGAGATCGCAGGAGCTCGGCCCTGTGCAAATGCAAGTGCATGAATGGGCCTTCAAAGGGATACTGAAATGAAAATTGAAATATACCTCTCACATTCAGATATGAGTTAACATGATCCACGAATTCTGCTAATGATAGTCGCACGTTTGTATTTTGAACGAATGTCTATATTTTTCGTTTTAGACGACAGATTTTGGTGAGCGCTCAAAGAGCAGCCATTGGAGAGTGCGACGCTGCTAGGAAGATCCGGCTCCTCCGGAGCGTTCGTGACGTCACATTTACCCTCACGGGCAAGGTACAGGGAAGCTGGCGTGGTTGCGAGCTTCTCCACTTGGTGGCAAAAACGCATTACAACCTGGCCGTTTGAGGAGCCCGCTCTCTGCAGGAGAGAAGAGAAATCCAGTTTGGCAAGTTCGACAGGGCTCGCGCGCACGCAGCCTTGCCGATGTACTTCCGCGGAGCGGCGCTGCTTTTATGAAAAATTTGACGTAAAGGCATTCAATCTATTCTTATTAAATTATGTTTCGCCGTCTTTTCGAGCAAAAAATTGGTGTCTGCGTTGGGGTCAGAACACGGTTGACATTTAGACGATAAAGTAGGCGCTAGAATTCTATTGCAGTACCCCCTTAAGGTTCCACTTCCAAACACTCTTTCGAATCTGTCGCCCTCTTGGGCTTCCATGCGTGCCCACCCACGCAGGTGCCAAGGTGCACGTGGAGGTGCGCTGTGGCTCGCAAGACCTCTCCGGCACCCTGGAGGCCATCCTGGAGAAGCTGGGGGCGGAGGTGTGCGACACCGTGGGGCCCCAGCTGACGCACGTGGTGTTCCGCAAGGGCCGCGACTCGACGCGCGACACGGCGCTTCGCTGGAACATTCCGCTCGTGGGTCCTCTCTGGGTCGAGGGGTAAGCCTCGCCTAGTTTCCAAATACTCTAAGCTTAGTGTCCGCACTCCAGTCCCCGATTTTCTTGCAGCCACCGTCGTTTTAGTGCCGAGCGGGTGCAATTTTCCCTTTTTGGAACCCAGTTGAACAACATTGGCAGTCGCCATTTCTGGGGCAGGAAGTGTGTAATTGGATCCGAGTTGTTGTCCAAAAAAGGTGTTCCCTCGATATCCGTTCGGCGGCATCACTTGCGTTGTGACGAAAAAGCTCCGATATTGATTGTGTAGCATAAAAATAGAGGGCAGCACGGTGATGGGCATGCAGAAGTCGAAGGAAGGGACCTTCGTATTTCGTTATACCAAAGAGCGGCGCTCTGAGAACACTTGGAGCTGCACTACACAACTTTTCGTGACCATGTGCACGGGCATAATGGCGATTTCACCATATTCTGCAAACCAGAGCGAAAGCAAACATCAGTGCTGCTTCAAACTTGGCAATTATAGAACCAAGGACCTTTGAAATGGTTCGGCAGCCTCGTGTCGAAAAGCAGCGAATTTTGCGAAGCATTTTAAGTTACTCTTGCTTTTCAGAAACGGCATAACATCGCTGGAAGACGAAGAGCTGTAGGGTGACCTTATCCGATCTCCTTTTGTGATGTTCTGCCATTCTTGAGGCGCAAGTGCCACTCAAGACACCACGCGCACCTCTCTGCAATTTGATGTAAGCCTTCTAAATCATTTGGAGGTCTCTGCTTTAGATTTGCCAAGCTGGATAAGAAATTAATGTTTGCTCTCGCTTTGGTTTGCAGTCTATGGAGACATTACCATCATGCTCGTGCATGTGGTCAAACAAAGTCGTGTAGCGCAGTTCCAAAGGCTCGCAGAGCAACGCCCCTTGGCATAATGACTCAGGAAGGTCGCTGTTTTTGACTAATGCACGTGCATCACTGTGCTGCCCCCTCCTTTTACATTTCAAAATCAGTCTCGGGACCTCTTGGTCGCACCTCGTAGAAGCGTGTCACGCCATTGCCGGTTGCGATCCTGGTCGGTGGGTCACGCCACTGCCGAGTGCGCCGGTCAGAGATAGATTCTGCCATTCTTTCGACAATGGGGATGATGGGTGATGGCAGTTGAAGTGAGAATGGTGATAGGCATTGCAAAATGTAAAGTCTGGGTGGTTAGTGGGGTGAGTGTGGATGTTTACCTTCTCGTCTCTATACTTAGAATGCTTGTTTGAAGTTCTTGAGGTTTGTTTCCGTAGGAAAGTCAGTCTCCCCGATGCGAATGAATCTGGTGGTCTCGCCAGCGTGGCCATTATTTTCAATATGTACGTTCCGGCACTTTTGAACCGTCGGAGAGGCTCATGTTTTTGGGGTCGGTTGACCTCTAGGCTTCCCGAGAAAGTTTGGGGGTCCAAAATTTAAGACCGCGCTATTAGGAAAAAAACCCGTTCTGGGTCGCATTTCCCGAGCAAACATGGTGCGCAAACATTTTAGCAACGGGGGCTTCTCGATGGTTCATCGTTCGTTCGTTTATTTTTGTGGCGTGCCATCGCTCGCCCTCGCTTCCAGGTGTCGCGTCGAAGGCAGGGCAGTGTCTCCGGCCAAGTACCCGGCCGTCGCCCCCGACACCGACAAGCGGCGCATGCTCCACATGAAACACGTGCGTCTCTCTCTTTCTCATGACGCTCGGCATTTAGTACCTTAACAATCCCCGCAAAAGGGATTCGGACGAAAAAAACGAGAATGTACTCGAGAAATAAAGTATTGCCGCGATTGTAACGACCGATTACGACGATAATTGTTAGTCGGAACATTTCAAAGACTGCTCCTATTCATAAAATCTAAGTCCCAGATCGGGGGAAGATTGCGTTTTACATCTCGCTCTATGTATCCCCTTAGTGTGTAATCCCACTGCTCGTACATTATATGAAAGAGGGAGTATGAGCTGCAGACCCGGCGACGGAGCTAACGTCTCGAGCATGTTTCAAGCACGTGCAAGCCTCGTACAAGCTTCGCACATGCGTATGCTGTGCAAAGTGAAACACCGCGCAATAGAATGATTATAGTTTGCCTAAGAGCAATACCTCCCGCAGGGTTGGGTGGGCACTTTCAAATGTGTGATTGCCGCCGCACGTTTACGGCGGTGACCGTTAAAGGGCTAATTGAGCAAAGAATCGCCCAAATATAAACAGCGCGTTTCACTTTCTAGCTCCAATAGGTCACCGTGTACCGTAGCACGCCGTTGTTGTTACTGGTGGTTCTCCTCTTCTTTTTGACTCAAATTAGTCGGGGTGGGGGCAATAGGCCGTCGTCGTAGGCGGCACTTGGGTATATTTGGCCGTTCCCCGAGGAATCGTCTTTCAACATTCGCCGCAGGAGTCCGCAGCGCTCCAGCCTGCAAGAAAAGCCGAGGGTTTGGGACCCCCGACGCAAGAACGGCACGCCGGATCGAGGAGTCCCGCGAGTCCGGCGGCCACCTCTCCGAGGTCGTCGACGGCCAAGAGCCGGTCGGCCCGGCGTGTTTCGCCAACCCTTGGGAGTCCTTCGACCTTGCACCAACCCTCTACCCGTCCCAAGAAGGTGACTTCCGGGAGTGAGCCGGAACACGCTTTGAAAAGTAACGAGCGCGTTCTGGATGCCAGGCGTTGCAAAGAGGCGACCTGCCGAACTCGCTTTGACGGGGGCCATAGCCAACACGTGCGCGCAATCGTCCGAGCGTACAGACTCGCGCGCCGTCAACCAGACCTCGGGTAGTTTGTAGCAGATCTGAAAAATGAGATTGGATTACTGCACATCGAAAAAGCTCATCGGAGTACGGGTCGGGTGCGGGAGTGAAATTGAGAACGGGAGCGAAAATCATCAAAATTGGCCTGGGAGGACGCGCAGAAACGACGACGATGTCGCAACGACATTGAATTTTGTGCCACTGCACCAAAGGGCCAGACGCGGAACGCCGGAAGCCGCCATTTGTAGTCATTTGAGCAGTGAGTAGGCATAAAGGCTGCTAGCTTTGCATTTGCCCATTAATTGTTGGAATCAAAGCTTCCAAGTCCCCCCTTGCTCTTACCTCCCTCTCTGTTTTTATTTGTATGAAACAAAACCCAAATACAGAATGCAAAGTTTTTCACAGACCTGAAAGAGTGCTTCAGAAACACGTTCTGCGTATACCGACGTTATCGTAGGATCAAGATACAGTCAGACCTCGTTAATTCAAACTCGAGGGGGACCAAAAATTTGTTTCGATAAAGCAAAGTTTTAATTAATGGGAGTTTCCTCCCACAGAGACACATAGGATGGGACCTGCATGCAAGTTTTTCCGCAAGTTTGAATTAACGAGATTCGAAGGTACCTTTGATCTCGAGGTAACCTTTTATCTGCTCGAGCAGCTTTTGTAATATGAGGTGCCATTTCTCGGCCTCTCGCAGCAGGTGGGGCGGACCAAAGCATCGCCACGGACGAAGCGTTCCACTCCTTCCAAGCACGTCGAGTACCGAGGTAAGGGGTTAACTCGGACGGGCTTACCACCGACGAGATGCAACCGTTTTCCGAGTGGCGAGTTTCTCGGTTACATCCGTCTTTTTATCCCCGACACAAGTAAGGGGCGGCATGTTCCCCTCTAGTGCTCAAAATGCAGTAGTTGTGCAGAGGTGGTAGCGCAACTGGTTAGAAATGAGCGAGTGGTTCGAAGACTGCGCGTTGAAATGTTTTCTATCTCGATTTTTGCGCCGAACAGTAGCTCGGTTTCTTGCGTGTCGTTCCTCGTCGACGAGTCTGCAAACTATCTGCTACCGCCGCAACCAGAAGGCTGGAGAACGCCGAAAAACGCTCGTCATATTTGTCGTAGTCCGTTCGTCCCCAAGTTGATGGTGCGGCAAGAGCTACGTGCTCGTCGGGCCAGACGACTGCCTTCCTCTTGTGACCCGACCCCGCTCTCTGCGTGTGGGTTTGGGCTAAGGAACGATCTCGCAGAGACAGATGCATGTTTGACTGGTCCAAGGAGTGCGTAGCTTTCGCGCCCCTCTTGGCTTAGGGCTGAGACGACACACACACTTACGACACGCTATGCCATCGTAAACGAGCATAGCGGATGACCAAACTACCTGATCTTACCCATTGAATGATATCCTACTGCGGGTTTAGTTGCGTATGATTCCGAACGTATGTCAAATTTTTTAACATTGTGAGCAGAGTCTATTTACAAAATGAGGTCTGCTCGAATTTATTGCTTTTCTCTGAGGTTACGCTTCTTTCGGGCAGGAGACGAGGAGAACCACGTTGTCTTGGACGTACGGCCACTAGAGCGGAGGCCGAGGTTGCCCGACGGAGCGTTGTCGGAAGACGGCGACTTTGTCGACGAAAACGAGAAGTCCAAGAAAGGGCGGCTTTCCTCTGGAATCGTTGAGGTGAGGCTCGCCGTTCAAAACTGTGTAACATAAAAAAGTAGAAGCGGCCTGTCTCTTGGGCATATCCCGAAGTCGGTCTAAACGCACCTTTGTGTGTCAATATCCCCGAATGAATGCGTTAAAAAACGAGGAATTATTAACGACCACAAATTTTGGAAGCGACTTACAGCTCATGAAAATGACCCTTTCGGAGCGATGAGAAACGGATACAATAATTTCAAGCTCAGGTAATGCATTTCTTTTGAATCGTAGTAACGAGTGACGTGCTTAGTTACCTTCCGAGGGGGCAATGGTATTAGGTGACTCTACTTCAGTACCGTGTAGATGCCTGGCTCTCGGTGCATTCAGTTTGGACAGTCCAGCCAGATGGTGCTCCCGTTGCGAGAAGCCCCACTTAATCTCTACTCCACCCTTCTTTCTCCTAGGTTCCTAAAATACGAAGGGGGTCAGGGGCAGCGGCCGTGAGGATGCGAGACTGCCAACCGTCCCAGGAAGGAAAGGACCAGGGGCCTTCCGTCGTCATGACCAGCGTTCCGCCAGAGTGAGCTTGCCAGTCTGTACCTCGAACCAAAGAGGAAGGGAACTCGTCCAAAATTTTAGTGAAGCGTCCGGAGCTCAAGTTGCTGACAGGTGTACAAATTGTGGAAAGCTCCTCCCATCCACTTCAGTGGAGCAAACGCTGAAGAGGAGGTGACCTTCTCTAGCGTTTGCTCTGCCAATGTGGAGGAAAGGAGCGTTCCCATGTCAACGACTAAAGGCATCCGTGTATATCTTGTCGGGAAGGCTCGGTGAGTCTGCCCACGGGCATGGCACTGGCACGCATTTGTCTAGTTGCCGCCCCATTAAATCAAGAAGACTAAAAAGGATGGCAGTTTTAGTGCGCCACAGTCACTGACTGGTCGAGAGTGTGGCGATTCTTGAGCGTCTTATCACTCTAGAAGTGGTGACGGCGTCGAGACAGCTCCCACGAGGGCGTCGATACGACTCCCGTGAGGGGTGCTCTCTTTGATTCTGATCAAAGTGGCTCTGTGGTTCCTCCGGTGTGTTCCCGTATGCATAGGCCAGTGTGCCGTTTTACAAACGAGCCCGCATTTGTCCGTACCGAGTGTGAGCAGAGTCGTAAGAGGGGAATTGTCCGCACCCGCTCCGTACCTACGGTGGCGCCACCGCTGCAGGGTGACGTAGCACGTTCAGAAAACACGGAACCCACCGTACAAACAGTTCAGTTTTGGACACCATCCTAATCTGGACAGTCCAGGTGTGCACCGTGAACGTATGGCTGGTCCGCAGTGGAGTCGCCGTAGGTGCTCCACTCGCGGAGTGGAGCATCCTGATGGTCTACAGTCTTGGTCCTCCGAGTGTGCGGCGGGAAGTGGCCGTTGCTCCCAAAGAAGGTGCAACGGGCACAACGATGTGCGCCGTTGGGCGTCACCTGGCTCCCTCGGCAGCTCAAAAGGCTTTGGAGAATGTCTGCCACGTTGCTGGCATTGTAAAAAAAAATGCAGCGACACTATCAAGTTAGCACGCGCAATGTTTCGAGGGTGAAGAAGCATCCAGCTCGTCCGCAAGCGCTTTGAACTGTTTTGGCGCACGTGATCTCTTCTTTACCAACGAGGAGTTGGCTGCGAAGAAGAAGGAAAGCTCCGCCATAGTATTCGGTTCTCTAGACCGTGACACCGGTCCTATCTGTTTGCAAGTTGTTAATCGCGGGCATTATGGGTACCGTCGCGACAAACCGAGCGTGACCCACGTGTTGCCATGACGGAGAAGGGACGTTGGGTGACTCCCGTGCAGGGACCGGGTAGTGCTGCGCAGCGTGGTACTGGCGCTGGGCGGCTTCCGAGTGGAAGCGGAGGTGACCCCTGGCACGACGCACCTGGTGGTGGGAGGGGCCGTGCGCACCCTCAACCTGCTCTTGGCCATGGCCAGGGGCTGCTGGGTGCTGTCCACGGACTGGGTGAGCCACCTCCCCGCTCCTGTCTGCTCCGAGGGATGCCCCTGCAAACAAAATGACCGCATCTCCACGTGGTGAATGATGTTGATTGGGGCAAAGCTCTGGTGGTGCTGATGATACTGATTTTATTGTTCATAGGTAGTGCTGATGGTCCTGATTTTTTTTTTTATTGCTCATAGGTAGTGCTGAGTTCCGGGTTGCATTTCGACTTCATTATTACTGCTTTATGGTTGGTCAAATGCAGGGCCAATGGTTCTTCTAGCGGATCAGCTTGGATCCGCTAGAAGTTGTGGGAACGCATCTCCACCGCTTAAGTCAACGGTCCCTGTCAGAAAGAGAATGTGTGGTATGGATCGTGGTTATATACGCATTTGACTGCAGCGCCCTCTCCTGTATTGACGTTGAGCAGCTACATGCAACGTTTCCTCCATGACATCCCCAGCTCTTGAGCTAGTACCACATCTCAGAGCCCCCTACTCGTCCCGCAGTCGTGGCCGAGTGGTTCAGGCAATGGACCTGAAATCCGTCGGGGTCTCTCCGCACCCTAAGGAGCTTTGCCCCTAAAAGAGTTTTAACATTTTAATGGAGGCCTCCTAGCACTTTTCAGTAACACTCTCCCACGACGGAAGAGCATCGTGTGCGTGTTGCATCAGCGTTTGGCGGAAACTCGCGTCCTCGCCAGCAAGCCCTTTTCAAAAGTGTGCACCATCACCAATACACGCGCTCCGAGCGTGTCTTGGCTGTGATGGTTGCGTCGGCGTTTGGCGAAACCTTGGATCCGATCCCAAGCTACGAGCCCGACAAATGCCGACCGCTGACATTATTTGACGGTCTTTCAAAGAGGGTCTATCGAACGAGAGTTCCAGCCGAATGACAATGCCGTTTCGGCGTCTAGTCTCTGCCCCTCACCGGGCTCTGACCGTGCCTCGACGAGGATCGGAGCACTAGATCGCCCGCTTCTGGAATATCCTTTTTAACGGAGGGTTCGACAGGGCATTCTGTTTTGAGAGACTGCGCTACCGCGCGTTTGTTGTAGAAGCATGGGCCATTTCGCCGCTCACATAAGTTCTTGGGAGTGTCGAAGAATTCAAACCTCGAGGGTGAGCGATCGGAAGCAACTCACTTCTCACTTCGCTCGTGGACGAGTCGGTACATTACCCGAGTACCCTTTTCCGCCGACAACAAGTTTATGCCCGTGCAAATACCCACCGCTCGGAAGGTAATGCCGGTGGCAACAACTACATGCCAAAGCCGACTCGAAGACTATTTCTGAGAGGTTTTTTAACGAGGTTGCTTTATTAATTATCGGCGGTAGGTGTCATTTTGCTCTCACAAACAACACACAATGGAGTGTTTTCACAACCACGTGTGGATTGTAGCGTTTTGATTCGTGGCAGTGTTTAAGGGGTGGTGACGGCGTCTAATCTGACCGTTCGGACAGTGCCACTTCCTGCTCGTGACGTGGAATTTGAGGCAAGATTAAAGGCCCGTTAGCACGCCTGCGTTTGCTTAGGACCAATCTCTTACGTCCAGAGAACACGCTGATGCCATTTGTATGGTGACCCTGGTGCTTCATTTCACTGGAGAGAAGGTTTATCTACAAGATCAGATGTTCATGTATGGGGAATGGCTGTTTATAACATTGCCAGATCAAACCACAAAAGAAAGAATGATGCGTGAAATAAAAGGAATAGGAACTACACGGAAACTGCTTCCACAGCTACCCGATAGGTGGCACCAGTGTGTTCTGTCGCAAGAGCTTTTTAGGCACACGATCGTAACTAGTGGTAAGTGTGTGAAGCAGCCCGAAAGGACAGGAAATGGCTAGAGGACGCAAGCTGCTGCCCACTAGGAAGGACGTAGCCACCATGAGGTCCATTTGCTCGATCCAGGTGTATCGATCGCTGGAGGCGGGGCACTGGCTGGACGAACGCCCCTTTGAATTGGGCAACATGTTTCCGGCAGTTCGGGTGAGTGTTGCTGGTATGCCGTACTGCTGTGTTACCCAGTGCTGTCTCCTATGGCCAGGCTTGCATATAGCATTTTACGAGTAATCTGTTACTTGTATTTAGTTACTTTTTTCGGTAACAAAGTAACAATGTATTACTTTTTTAAAGAAAAGGAATTAGTAACGTATCTTCGTTGCTTCTTCATGGAGTGAAGAATAAACGGTACCGAGTCCAGTCATGGGCACGTTACCAGTGAAACGTAACTTTGTTACAGTTACCTGCTTCAAAATGTAACTTGTTACAGTTACTGCAAAAACAGTAATGCCATTACTTTATCGTTGCAGTACAAAAAAATTTGAAACAAAAAATCGCAAACCAAAACAAAATTATTTTATTTGTTACGTCAGGGGTTCTCAAACTGGGTTCCGGGGAACACAGGGGTTCCACGAGCTGGTGTCATGGGTTCCGCGAACACCCAAATTGCAAACCCCCTTCCCCCCATGCTGTATGCTGCACGGCAGGACCATGCAAAGCACCTTCATCTCACTTTGTACTGACATTGCGATTGATATGGTGGGGATATATGGGAAGCAACACAACAACACAAGCAAAATTGTCTACAATTGCGCATCTGTTGCTTCTCGGTCGGCAAATGTGGAGGAGGAGGAGGAGGAGGGGGGGGGGGGGGGGGGGGAGTTCCGCTGCAGTTTTTGAGGCTTCCTGGGGTTCTGCGAGGCCAAAAAGTTTGAGAACCCCTGTGTTACGTTATCGTGAGAAGAAAGGTAAACTGAGGAATTGGAAAAGTTGAAACCCGAAGGGTGTTTTTTTTTTGCGTCATTCGGTGTTTCAGCATTTTGATGTGCATAAGTTATTTGCAATAATTGTTATAAACTAGAATCGACTGTTTTTCAAAATTGTCATCAGGCCCCGTCAGTGAACATTTTCGTTTATTTTTCACCCCAAAACGAAGGAGGACACAGATGGTCACAGAATTACCTTATGGGATATATACTCGGAAGCAGGCCTAAACATAGTGGGTCAAGCAGCTTCGAAAGAAGATGGGGAGAAAGGAGAAAAAGCGAGGGGGCCTTTCGTTGCTCTACAAGTGTTCCACGACCACCGCGGCGTCTTTGCCTGAAACGCCAACTTTGGATGACCAGTCCGCATACACGCATCAAAAACAGCTGCTTCTCGGACACGTGTTTTCCGTCAAATGGCTTCAGCTGGAGCACTGTTCCATCACAAAGTTGCCTTCTAGTTTGGGGTGTTTCTTGAGGCTATCGACAAAAAAGGCAATTACACTTAAATGTGCCTTCGTGTTTACTTGCACGGCTCCTAAGAGAATGAATAACAAGCGCCGGCTTTCTACACAATATGGGGAAGCTCTCACCCCGACTCATGCCCCTGACTTGTGCGACGAGAAAACGCCGGAAAGGCCATAAAAAGAAGCGCACAAGGTGTGTCAGTGTAGCCACGATTATCCCCGAAGACACACGTGAAAACCGGAGGAATTCTTAGCGCCGACGAGTATTGGAAGTCACCACTGCTTCATGAAGACAGCACTTTCGGAGTAAGGAGAGAATGACTCATCACTTACGAGCAGAGAGATTCATTCCTTTCGTATTGCAGCAACGAATAGCGTGCTTAGTTGCTTTATTTCGGTAGTGTGTACGTGTCTGCCTACAGCCTCGCTCATCCTCCTCCCTTCCACCGTGCAGTTGAGCAGGCAAGAGCGGGCAGTGCGCGGCGAGGGAGGTCTGCTGGCCGGGACGGGCGCCTTCTACGTGTCCCCGGAGAGCCGTCCCCCACCAGACAAGATGAGGCAGCTCGTGCAGATCCTCGGGGGAAAAGTGAGCGTTCATCTATTGGAGGGCTACTCTGGCACTTTCTTCGTGGTCCCCCATTTGCTCCTATATTTGACAAACACTTAAACAAACATAGCTGAACCAGCAACCCAAATATTAGGCCAAAATATATCTTTTTATTTTTCGCAAAGTTTTTGAATTTACGTTTTTGGTCCTCGCCGTGTTTCTCAAACTGTGAGTCTCTGCTGGCAAAGAGGAAAGAGTGATGCGTGCGGCAGGCAGGGGTTGCCTCTTTGCGCTGCAGAATTTGCTCTCAACTGATTACGAGCAGTGTCAGGGTGTCAAATGAGTGCTTTGGAAGCTCGCTCCAGCAATCGTGCAGCGGCACGAAATAAACATTCGGCGTTCTCAGTTTGTGAGACTGCCTGCTCAACCCTTAGCGTGCCTGCCCATTGCGTCGTGGCGCTGAAAGCGAGGGGATATTTGAGTGTTGGTTTTGGCACCATTTGCATTTGCCAATTTCTATTCTGAATCTTGCCATACTAAATAGCATACTGGAAAGGGTAAATGAATTCAGAGAATAAAATTTGTAGGGGTGGCTCGAAAAATCGCCGGAGTACCCCTTTCACCTGCTACGCCAAAAACTGCGGACAAGGGAGAACTGGTAGACAGGACGTGGTGCAACACAATCTTCTTTGGCAGTATTGCTCGAAGCTTGTCTTGTGGGAATTCCGTAACCTGCATTCTTTCTTCGCACATGCATTACTAACAAACGGATTGTCGACCTCTAAAAGTTTACTGTAAGTGGAATCGCGGACAAATGTAGAGCAAAGCCTCGAGCAACTCGCATGATGGGCAGGTATTTTTGTTTCTAATTTTCAAGTTGTGAGCCAACTAAACCCAAATATCTTTTTCCATCTTTCTCATCTTTTTTTCTGAAATTTGCAGGATGCAGTTGCTCGCGTGATGTGCCGCACAGCAGTGATGTGATTGCTGCGCCAATTGCGCCAAACTGCGCCAAGGGGCTAACCCTGCTACATCCTGCTACATTTTGCCAAAATATGGGCAATCTGCGCCAAGCCTGCGCCAAAGGACCGATTTCGGTCGCCTCTCAAAGCCGAAACTAAACTGGGTACCGTAATCGAGCATGCGTGAGCTAGGCGGCGCAAGTGGCTGCCCGACACTAAGTACCCTGCATCAATCGTCTATCCGGTCTCGCATTGTTTTTTCTGCCGTCTCCCGTCTTTTTTTTTTTTTTCTTAAACGATAGATGCGTGTATGCGCACACATCTATACTCGACGCTATAGCGTGCCGAATACCAAGCCATGCCGTAAAACGAAACCACGTTTTTGCGCGGCGGGAGTTACTGTGTGAGCTGAAACACTCGCTCCTGAAAGCACCGGCCGTGTGAAAACTCTATTTGGTCCCTGCCTGCCAGTCACCGTGGTCGCGCGACGTCGGGTCTTGCCGTCCTGACGTCGCTGCAGATATGGCGCTTTCTAAACTGAGCCGTAGGGACAGCCGCATGTTCATTGACATTCCTGTTCTTGTTCTAATCACACGCTACTACAAAAATCCCTCTTTAACTCAGACTGCTGTGTCGAAGTGTTGATTTCCTAGGTTTCTCTCGGTGGACTTTGTTTCGAGAGGGATCTTGGTACTTGAAAAATCTGCCGCAAAAGAATGTTGGCGAAGAGAAGTGAGCAAAAAGCAAAGATGGCAATGTCTGCTCGCTGAACCCACAGATCGCGCTTGTTTGTCTCGAGTTCAGACGTTGCACAAAGCTCTCCAAGAACTTTTTGACTCTGGTTCGCAATGTCTTGCAGCGATGCATCCAGGTTCTTATTTTTGTTTTAGCTTGTATACCTCGCCTGCCGGCCTGGCGAGCACGCGCCACCGGACTGTTTTTTTATTTATTTTTTTTTTTTTTGTCGTATGCTGGACAGTTACACTCTGCATACAATTTTACGAACCAGTCGGTGACGGAGCACAGTGGCACGGTTTCGGTTTCGATCGAACAGCCGTTGTCTCCACTCGCGCGATGAAGCACGCGCAACTGCAAGCCTTCCGAAGCTGCACTCACGTGCATCCGAGCATGATTACATGACAGAGGCACCAGACGGGACGCTTGCAATCCATTGTTTTACGTTTGCTTTTTGAGGAAATCGGGCACGTCGGGAACCAGTAAAGCGGTGGCAAGTGGTGTTTCGGAATTGCTCGGCAACGCCTACAGCACTGTACACTTGTGGGATGTCTCAGCAGTAAAAACATAAGCAGCGAGTACCGTCACAACACGTCACATGACAACAGAACACAGCGCAAAGTGCCCTTCGTTTGTCCAGCACTTTTATTTTTCTAAGAAACTCTGCTCCAAAAGCCGCTATTGCTGCTCCGAAACACTGTTCTGGCTGCTCCAAAAGCCACTTTTCCTGCTCCGAAACACTGTTCTGCCTGCTCCAAAAGCCACTTTTGCTGCTCCAAAACACTGTTTTGCCTGCTCCGAAAGGTGCTCCAAAATGGCTTAGGCCAATCACATCACTGCGCACAGGTGCCCCGTTTTCTCTTCAAAATTCGTTGACAGATTTAAGCTATACTGCATTTCGCTCGAGTGCAAACGTAGTATAAGCTACAAGAGCGAGTTCCAGGCATCCAGTGTCCCTGTCGATCGTGCCCGCGCAATGCAAGCATCGTACGAGGCAACGTGGTCGTACTCGTAGCTTTGGTGTCTCTTGCGCATAGAGTGAAACAAACTATAGAGAAAAATTTAATAATGTCGTCGAAGAAACGGACAAACAAAATTTTAGTAAGCAGGAAATGTAGCGCTGCTTCCCAAAACAAACTGAATGCTTGAGGGTACTTGCACCTTGTTTGAAATACATTTTATTAAATTTTTTGAAAGAATCAGCGCAGTACTAAATGGCTCAAAATTTATTGAGAGCCTCTCTTTTTTTAATGTGAAAATATTATGTATGACCCTTTAATATATTATATTGCACAATACTCAATGTACTTGTGTTTGTGAACTATTGTAAATAGCGTAACAAATCATTGCACCCTAATAGATGTAGTCTGCTTTTATACTTTGAAATGTATTGCAGGGTGCTTTGTGCAGTGCTCGGTTTAGGGGACAACTGGGAATTCTCGAGTGAGTGAACGCCAATTATCCTCAAGGTACAAGGAGTAGCCGACTAGCGGCAGCCAATGCCTCCTTTTTTATTTATTTATTTTTTTCTCGCTTTTCTCGCGAAAAAGAACCTCCGTGGTGATCTTTTGAAGTCTTTGCTTCCCATAAAAGTGATGAATCGGTCGTCTCTTTTTACCGAGTGATGCGAGCAATTTCAGACGTTTTGAGTAACGCTTCAGCTGTATTTGGTACAACTGATGGGGCGACGTCTTTGAACAACAAGTGTGGGCTACACTCGAGGAAAAGCAGTAACACACTGGGGACCCCCGTAGGTGCGTGCCACCGTAGTCGAGAGCCCTAGCACCATTCTGTGTTTTGTGAAATCCAGGTGGCTCTCTCGTACCTACGCTGCAACGTGGCCTTGGGTCCCGTGGAAGCCAGCAGGCGACGACCCGACGTCAGGCACGTCTCGGAGAAGTGGCTGCTGGGTGAGCGCTCAGCCTCTCTCACCCGGCCTTTGCGAGACGCCCAACCGAAAAATGCTCCGCTTATCTGGATCCTACGGATGGAGTCGGTTACACGTAATGTGTTTTGGACATTGGAGTTTTGACTTTCTTGGCTTATAGAATGTTACTCAGTTCAAACCTTGTTCCTTTTTATGTGATGGCGGGCACACCCTGAATCTCCTGTTTCTTCCCATAAAGTGTTTGAACGTCAAATGCCGACAGCAAATGCCAGCTTTCGGCGTTTGCGTTCAAACAGTTAGTCAAGACCGACATGATAGAGACAAAGCCAGCTAGCCTTGCATCTGCTCACTAATTGGCAGCAATAAAGAAACGAGTAAACCCGCTAACTAGCCCACTAGTAGAATGTCAAGCTCTCGGTACTGGGGTCGTAGGTTTAATTCCCGTCGGGGTGCAATTAGAATTTCATTTATTCTTCTTAGTTCATCTCTGTTTTGTACAGATTGTCCACTGAAGTATGTGTCGCACATTTCGTAAGGGCCCGCGCTCGAGTAGCCTCGGCCGACGATGTCTCCGCCATCCAGACGGAGCAAATCAGGAAAATGAAACGAACCAAAGCCAAGAAAGGTGTCCTGTTCTCATGGCACCTGGGTGCACTCTCTTTTCTCTCAAAGCGTCTGGTTGAACCCCGACAAACACTGGCTTCAACATCCCACCGGAGATCTCTAAGCTTCAACACATTTGTGAAACCATTGTTGCCACCATCGAAGCCTAAAACTAGGGTTAATGAAGAAGCAGTCTGTAAGCAACACGCATACCAAAAGTGCCAAGTACCGCGTGACATGGGGCACCTAGAAAAAGACTTTAGGAAGGAGCGTGCCTTCCATGAAGAAGCGTGACAAACTGGGCCCGCAACAGGCTCCCATTGGCCGCACGTCGAGGAGCCATCTGATGGCACCGCTTGCAGCCCAGCCGAGGAGAGAACTTTATCTGGCAGCTGCAGTGCGCGCAAGTTCCACACGTACATATATCTTATGTCAGTGGTTCTCAAGCATGCCCTTGGGGACCCAACAAAAGTGCTAGCAGAGAGAGGGGAGGGGGAGGAGTACAAAGTAAGACCTTTAATTGCAGTTCTCGCATTGTGGAAAGGGCGTTCTCTACTGTTATAAACAGAAGTGAGGAGCACCAAGTAAAAGGATCAATGGATGGATAGATGGTAACGGCCGTACCTTTCATAATGGGCGGTAGCTTGCACCACATGGCCAAGAATTGAAGGGGGGCTTTGCGAACCCTGAAAATGACTTTGCTGACCCCAGCGGGTCTGCAGAACCCCATTTGAGAACCACCGTTTTATGCCATGCAAAGGACGCACAAAGTGGGGGATGACACAATACCGGCTTGAGTCGAGAAAGCGTCGCATTGTCCCCCTTGTTATCCTGGGTTTCTCCTGTGTGACCATTTTGCCCGCACGTGTACTCTTCCTTCGGAGTCGGTTTATCGGCCCGACGAGGGTGATCGCTCGCACACATTCGCCTCTCGCTAGTTGCGAGGCTCTCGAGCTTCTTGATGTTGAAGAATCTCTCCGGACTAAAGGCTGGTTGACACACTTGCTACCACTTACGACCTTAAAACCTCCCGGGGCCTCTTTCGAAAACAGAGAATGTATCCGTCTATCAAGTATACTCGTAATTTCTCTACATTTTCTTCTTTTAAACTTTTACAATCTTATAAACAAACATTTCTCGTAGATAGTATGTACAGAATGTTTGATCTTCTGGCAATTACCGCAAAACCTTTGCTCTAGTGAAATGCAGTTCCAGGGCCACCTCACAGATGGCGCCGGCCTGTCAGTGTGTTCGGAGCCATATAAAGAGTCTGATCAATGCGAAGAGCCGGCAGGAGGAAGTGGCGAAGGTGGCGCAGCCACCAGCACCGTATATTGTCTCCCGTGATGAACTTGCGAAGTAAGAATGATCTGGGATGACCTTTGAAGGATTCGCATAGCTCTGCGCTGGTATTCTATGTTTTTCGATGAGGCTGAAAGTGCATGATTGTATAACTGTAAGAAATTGGTGGAAAAGGGGAGTTTCAAAGTGCCTAGTGCGTTTACTGAGCCAGGAAAGGGGCCGCTGACGAGAAAAAGTTTCCTGAAACACGAGGCAAAACTGCGAATCGGGGCTGCGCGTTCGGGGTTTGGGTCAAAACTCCCACAAAGCCGAATTTGCAGTTTTTACCGTCCACTTGTCGTGGCTGTGGCCACGAGTGCAATCAAAAGAAAGATTGAGTGCATTCTGAATGTCGCCATGAGGACAACATCACGTACGTTGCCCTTCCAGTTACAAAAAGTCGCAAAGTTTGACTTTAGCGTGCTAAAATGGAATACTTGAATACATCTCTACCTAGAGATTGCGATTAGAGGGTATTTGTTAAGCTCATTGCCTCCGTTAGGGGGATATTTGTGGCTAGTGGTTGGTTGCAAGAGCTGTCAATCATTGCACCAAAGGTCATCGAAACAATTTTGGCCAATGACGTGCCCTTATTTTTGTTCTATTACCTAATAATGACCAAACTCTACATTTACGGCTCTGAGCGTGTTCTCTCGACACAAGGGATTGCAGCAACTCGGTCGTAAGCAAATGGAAGCTTGTGAACAGGCCTTAACAGTAGAGGAAACCAACTGCTATAATAATGCGGTGCAGAGACCTACGAACCTGTGGAGAATAGCACACACATACTAAGCAGTGCTTGAAACATAGCTAGCCGTCGACGGATCGCTAAGCTTAAGTTGGAAGCCTGGTCAAGATGGGGAATCATACAATGCAAAAATAACGAGAACAATGGAGGAGACACAGAGGCAGTCTTGTCTGCCTTTCCATGTCTCTTTGTGCACCATAGCAGCCTATAATGAATAGCTCTTTTAAAACAGTAAAAGGGCAGAGACAGTCGTGGTCATATTTGGGTACCCTGGGGAACCTTTGCTTGTCTAGGAATCCAGAATGAGAACTTGGGTGGCAAGGACAAACCTCGTTTTGCTCGGTTCTGAGGCTCCGGCTGGTTTTGTTGCTCTCTGGTTTTGGGCTCTCTGGTCCTGCTAAGCCTCAGATTTCATTCGCATCCATCGATGCTATATATTATGGTTTTAATATCAAACTGGGGTCTCGTCACCTTTTGTCTTCGTCCTTAATGCCAGCAGAGTTATCCGATGTTTAGGTTTTAGGGAGGCTTTTACGCTCTAACCTTCCGACGCACGCTCAAGTGCTGAAGAAGGGAATTGCTCTCTCTTGCCTTTCAGATTCTGTTTCGGAGCACCGCGTCCTGCCCTTCAGCGGTTACAGCTGAACCGGACCAAGCTCAGTCGTTGCAAGTTCTCGAGTCTTCCATTCAGTCCCGCGAGCAAGTTGCTCCGAACAAAGTGCCGAGTAATGCTGCTGTCGACGTGAAACGGGATACTGTTACGCATTGCAGGTCCTTGACGAAGGCTGCAGCATATTGTCTTGGGTTTTTGTTTTATCTTTTTTTGTCTTTGCTGTTTCCCGTCAGTCTGCCAAACTCGACTGCCACCTCTTCAGACTCTCTACTAGTAGAACTGGCTCGAAACCATAGGTTGTTGAGTTTTCATAGTCTTTATGTACTGTTTGTGAAGATGTACTCATGAAAATCTGTCAGAGTTTCAACACCAGCTTGGAACTCTGCATTGATATTCTTCAGCCGATTTTAGAAAGAGTCCACTTTCGTAATCTGTAGTGCATTGCCCGCAACTTCATGGCGATGGTATTCATTGCACTTTGTAGTCACAGCGCTGCTCGGTGAGTAAGAAATTGTGCACTGTTTTTGGCTTTGTCTTCCCAATGTTTTTGCAATACGACATATCTGAAATAATTAAATTGCATGCCTTTCTTTCAGTTGAGCTGATAGAAGTCTAATAAGCTCAAAATATAGAATCAGATTTTGTGTGTTTCTATATAGGCAACAAAAGTGTCATAATTGTTAAGGGGAAACATAAACCTAAATTTAATTTTTTTTTTTAATTCATTTTTTTATATTTGAGGTTTTTGGCTTCAGAAACTAATTATACAGCTTTATACTAAATTTGATAACCGTGCACCAAATAGTTACATTGATATTAAATTAGTTCAACACAGGGTGAAGCAGTAACAAAGCAAAGGACTTTAATGTTTGAATGCATTTTTCTCAGTTCCACTTTTTTACTGCGAATTTCATAGGAAGGAATCCTTTGTTCGGAGGTAAAAGTATTCTGGTACCACAGTCAACATGTTTCTTTACTGAAATTTATTTATCTGCCTCGGATATTTTTAGGTAACCACTTCCTGAAATATTTACACTTGAGTTATAAAAACTAGGTAGTCGCACATCCGCCACTTTATATTCAAGCCAAGCAGTCAAAATGCTGCTTAATAGCTTCATTTGCATATCATAGATCTCTTAACAAAGAGTGACACATCTTATGCAGGTGTGCAAAATTGTCCTAGAGGACTGAATGTTTGCACAGTACACAAACATCTGGGCCCGTTTGCTCGAAGCCGGTTAACTTTAACCGCGGTTAAAAGTTAACCGCCTTTCCCTACTAGGTACCTAAAAGTACCTAGCCAAGTTTGACGAGGGCTGGATAAACGATAGCTCCCTGTTTTATTATTGGGGTGGTAGCTGGTGTCACCTCCTGGCTGTAGCGAATATAAGTGGCTTCCGTAGAGAGGTTCCCTAAATGGGGGGGGACCCAAAAATGCGCGCTACCGTGTTTTCGCGACACAGCGCGGCATACATTTGAGCTCAAGAAACAATTTTTATTGCTCGTGGTACAGGTAATCGGTAAGGTCAAACTAAATTAACCCTTGTTAGGAAAATTTCTTAATACTTGGCTGTCTGAAGTGAAGACAAGCCTCGTTGAAATTTCCTTCCGAGTTCGAAAGTGGACGACGAAGTTCAGTCCTAGAAACGATGAGAAAGAAGTGAGCAGTGAAAGGCGAGCGTTACACCGGCAGTATGGTTGGCCAGCCTGTAAGAACTGTATATAACACCGTCATAAATTGAAAAACCTGTAATTCGGTTTCAGTGAAAATTTGAGTTATTAGTAAATTACCCTAACATCGACGAGAACACTGGAAGTGTAATTCAACGATCCGCGCGCGCTGGCCTTCCACTTATAGAATATTCGAAGTAAATAATCATAATAAATCTTTGACGAACACGCGTGCACGGCAAATTTGTTGTAGGCTTTTTGCTTTAGAATACTTACTACTGCAGACGCCAGCACGCGCAGCGCGTGTACCTACACTCTACTCTGTTTCACCTCATGATGTACCGCAGGAAAGGCTAAAAGCGCGAGCTCCTTGCTCTAGGGCACATCTCGGCGGCACAAGCTCGCGCGCGTTGAGAGCAACTGCTAATGCCATGAGCTCGCGCTTCTAGCCTTCTCCGCGGTACAACATAAGGTGAAATGGAGTATCGCAGCATGCACCTCGGTGCTTGCGAAATTTAGCAAAAGGTCTATGGGGACGCTGTCTGCTTCTGTGTGCTATCAGTACCCGGCCGATTGAGTCAAGGCAATCCACTTTTCAAAGACGTTGCCATGCCGACAACTATCGCGTTCATTTAGGCCTAGGAATCGCCAGAATCGAAAGACTATCTGAAAAATGCGGTGAGGTGATTGCTCATGCTTTGCGTTTTAAGTGAGGTAAAACAAATCAAAAGCCTCCTGCACCATTCATTGTTGACAAACGCGCCCGATATTGTAGCTACAACGACGTATTAGTTCCAAAGCGAGCGGCGCTCACTCACCGGGGCACCGCCATGTTTCCCCGCCGTCCTCGCTCTGCCGGTCACGTGACCTAAAATTCCCTCTCGTAAGGAAATCCGGTTAACCGCGGTTAGTTAACCAGCTTCGAGCAAAGGGGCCCTGATGTTAAATCTCCCCTGCAAATTTCATTCCAATTACATGAGTAGCTCAGAAGTTAAATCTCTAGCCAGCAAATGCCATGTCTACTCTTGGCTTATTTGTTTCTGGAAACTGGCACATGTTTTCTTGTCAGTGCAGGATTCAATATCCCTTGTTTGTCTTCTATCAAGTCCATGCTTTTTGTCTGCATGCATGAATATGCCACAAATGCAGTCCCGCCTTGCCTCTTTCTTTTCTATTGAAAGGCCACTCTGCCTAAGTCGGATGAAAACAAACATGACTGATAATTATTTTGTGTGAGGAAGTCTGCCGAATAAAGGGCGAACACATTTGATGAACGCCTGCAAGGCACATATGCTTCCGCTAGATTATAGACCAGCACACTGTTTACGAGCAAGCCCGCGGGTGGAGGCACCGGGGTACCACCGCAGAGGCGTGACGTCGGAGCCACGTGTTGGTCTCTAGACATTCTTTACTGTGAACGGAGTCCTCGTTTCACATTCTCTGTTACATCTTTTGACAACGAGAGGTCCAGGGCTAACCCTTCACGTATACTAATTTTCCATTTCACTTGCCATCTGTGGACGAGGGTTTTGTTTAGTGAATTCTTGAAATTGACAAGATTTATTTTGAATGTATCAGTTTAGCAGAAGATAGTGCTATGTGGTGCACTTGGTAGCAGACAATGTGTACATTATGTATATAAATGCCAGCTTACGCAAGAGTGTCGCTTGTGGTTTTCGTGTGTGAAGTGTGATCTGTGGGTGTCATGATTGCAGAGTCCCTAAAGTAACTGCACATGCTCTGCTTGGAGTCCCAACTTCTGGCAGCTGCCGTGGACTGTGAAGCCAGCAGAGCAGGCATTTGATACTTAGAATTTGAAATGGAGACGAGAAAAGGACATATTTCAAACTGCAACTGCTTCCAGCGCTGCTGCGACCACCACCAGGATTACATTCTCACATTTCTACGACGTTGTCATGTGGAAATGGGAGGACCGCTTTTTAAGACTCAGTGAACACACCAATCTGCTACTTATTCAAAAAAAAAAAAAAAAAAGTTTTTTTTCAAATAAAATGGGCACTTGTATGGAGCATCCCGGGCAAAAAATAAAAACGTAAGAAAATGTGCATTTGGTTACAGTAGGCTGTGTTCAGATACAATCACCCACCCGAGTCCGGACTATTTTTTTTTTTTTTATTGTTTTATATGTTATTTCTCAACGTGCGTGGTAAACATAAACTAAAAAGATTTCGCAAAAAACGATTTGAAAAGAAAAAAAAATGCACCAGAACAGCCTATTTGGTTTTTGAAGTTTTCAATTATGTCATGTTTTGCGATACCTACTAAGCAAAGTACAAATATCATAAATCTCAAATATTTTCCACTTATAATAGATCAGGGCAACTATTGACTTATATATGTACACCATTGTGGGTTTTGTGTTAAAAATGCACAAATATGGCTCCTTTGATGTTTTGTCAAGATTTCTGAGCCGTAATCTGAACAGATTGAATAATCTACAACTTCAAAATTTATATAGTATATTCTTATTAAAATGTTCTTTCGAGTAATTAATAAATCGTTTTATCTCAAAAGTTTAAATTTTTATGTTGACCCAAACTTGTTCTAAAGTACAGAGTTAAGAAACTTCGAGGGGCAGTAGATATATTTTTTTTGCTGTATTCGGGTGTTGGGCTTAAGCAGAAGTATTCTACTAATTAAAACAATACCTGCGTTGTTCGTCCTTTGCATTTTGGTTAACCTTTGTCCAAATTTCAACTTGCTAATTGCCTCCCATCTCTCAAGAGACGACCAGCCCATGCCCTCCTGTACTCCCTCATTTGGTGTTTTTCCATGTGCTCCCAGAGCCAATCTGCCTACGCTTCTTTGTCTAACTTCTAATCCTGATTGAATTTCTGATTTCATGCACAATACCTCATTGCCAAAAGACAGTCCTGGTACCATCACCCCTTTCCATGTACCTCTGACCACTTGATATCTATTATACTTCCATAGGGCCTTGAGCTTCATAATAGATGAATTTCTGTTCCCTTTTCTAATTATATTTCCTCCATGTTCCTCTAGACATTTCCTTCCCTCATTGAGCCAGACTCCCAGATATTTGTATTTTCCTACATGGTCTATTACAATGTATTGTGTCCTCAAGGGTTCCCTCTCTTCGTCGGTAAACACCATTACTCCAGACTTGTTGCTACTAAAACTCGTGCCCAAGGTGTCCCCTTCCTCCACATGTTCCAGCTAGTTCCTGTAACATACCTTGGTTATCTACCATGAGTACTATGCCGTCCGCATACATCAGTCTTGGTATTACTTGTATCACATCTTCCCATCCATCCATACAACTCGAATCAAAACCTAAGTGGCTTTGCTTTAATTTATTTTCCACTTCGCTGAGATGTATCATCAAGAGTAGGGGCGAACGTGGACGCCTCCGCTGGTAACGCCCCCGCTGAATGCAGAGCAGAGCCATTACCAATTGAGTTTATCTGTAGCTTTTTTTATATATCTAATCATCACATGGAAGGAGCTGTGATAGGTTCACAACGTGGCATGGGCGTACAAACCGGGGGAGGGCAAGGGGGGCGCTTGCCCCCCCAGTTCTCAGAGCGGGGGGGGGGGGGGGCAAAACATGTGTTGTGCCCCCCCCCCCCCCGAAACAGCCGCCACTGGGCAGGGCAGACACTGGCTGGTGGCGCCCAAGGGATACTAAGGTCACCGCTCCCCAGTCCGGGGGGGGGGGCAGGGGTCTGGCTTGCCCCCCACTCAAAAACAAGTCCGTACACCACTGAAACATGGTCATTCGGGGTTCACTCTATACAATCTTCATTGTCATGTTAAAACTAGTTGATGTCTTGAAGACTTAAACGGAAGCAGCCAGTCAGGAACTACTGTTTGAGTATCATGTGCGCTTTTGACGTCGATGGCAAGCTTGGTGAGAAGTATATGTAGGGTGCAAATCGTCATTCCTTATGTCGAGACGGGCCTTCCACGTGCACATGCTATACAATGCTAGGAGCATTACCATGCCATGCGGGAAGTTATCTCCAGATGATACAGGTAGGAAACAAAATGAATAAGCTGTAATATTGGCATCCTTTTTTGGAGCGCTGCAAAACACCCCAGAAGAAAGTGGCCTCCCAACAATTAATAAAAATAGGTTCAGTGGTTTCAGGTGCTCTACATAATGTACAGTTTGTTGACCATGGGACAAATATTCCTTTTTCTCGTGGTCACTCTTTGGCGGGTAACACTGAAGAATGTAATTTGAAAAATAAAGTATGCCGCAGGGGGGGCATTTTTGCCCAGCGCATTACGCCCGGTTATATCACATTCGGGTATTTCGAGTTATTGTTTATATCAAACAGTCCAAGCATGCCCTTGAAACTCGCATGTAATAGTATAGGGGCGTTGTCGTTTTGTATCGTACTCCCATCATCCATGGTGGGGACACTCGATATTGCCAACGAAGCCCGGCCGCCCGTTGCTTTTCCCGCGATCCGATTCCGCCGTTGGCGAGCACATCGTTTGCGTTGTGTGGCTGGCAGACCGCCAAGCCAGCCTACACGCGGGAAGATACGCAGCGAAAGAGCAGTTGTGAGAAAAAAGAAACAATGAACCGTAATAAAAAAATAAAAAAGTGGGGGATGGCAAAAGCAAATACTTTAAAGTATTTGGCAAAAGCATGGGGAAGGGCACGCGCGCGCGTAGGGAGAGCAGGGAGTGTCCGCTGTTGGAACGGTAGCCCCCATGGAGAATAGAAGGGTAGGAGAGGGCATAACGTCAGCCGCGTAGCCTCCACAAGCCATGCTCCCTTGACGCCTCGCCTCTTTCTCATTTTCCTCCTTACCCTCACCACATCACGTGACCGTAGCTAGCCCTCGTCTAGCCTTCGATCTGATAAAACCTACCGGACGGAGCGCGCGCAAGCCTGCAAGGAATCCTCCTACAATCAACCATCCATCTCGCACGTGACATGTCACGCGCACCAATCGCCACAGAGATCTGCGGTCACGCTGGGTACAATATTGTTTACTTTTTATGACTGGGCTTCACCGATACTGCTACGCGCCCCCTCCTAGTACTTCTAACCTCCTTGATCTACTGTATTTAGCGGCTCTTAGATGCTCTATTTGGTAAGCTTCCGCTTGTCACGACTTTCGGTGTTAGCAGAGATGCCAGGAAATTTTGACTCGAGCTTAATTTAACATATTTTTGTATATCAAATTATTGATATATCAAACTATTTTACGATCCCCTTTGAATTCGATATATCAAAGTTTGACTGCAAATCGTCTTGGGAAACGTCGCTGAACACTGAGCGGTAAATTGACATTGTAAAGAGGATATTCACAAGATCTCTTGTCAATTTTTTTGACGTGAAACGGACATTATTCTTTTGAAAACATTACTAATAAAAACTGAAGAGTAACACAAGCTTATCTGCCACGGGGGATACGATAAAGTCAGTCACAGAAAAGGATGCGCCTGGTCTCAAAAGAAAACATTAATACCAATTGGCGTGTAAATAAATAGGGAAGGCAGAGCCCGCCATGTGATACACGACGAAACAAATTGTCACGGCGCATGAGTTCCCAAGTGAACATGATCATACAAAAAGGCAAAAACCCTGTCCAATTTTTGGTTTCTTGACCGTGTGCAGTGCAGTACCTGCAAGACACACCATAATTTGGCCGCCAAAAATATATTACAGGTCGTCGAAAGGGCAAACACTGAATAATTTCTGTGAACTGCAACAATTTCTGCGAAGAGCGAACTTATTTGAGGAAAAAGTAAAAAGGAATCAAAGCAAACCACCGGTCTTCAAACTGTAGGGCGCCGTTTGGCACGGGAGACGAGAGATGGCGCAAGCGGTCGCGTGTCGTCTGCTAATGACGCCGAGAGCCGGCGTCATTAGCAGACGATCTTTCCGACTCAAAAGTGGCGCGCGTTCCGCAGGCGGCGACAGTCGCAGAACCAAAAACAGGCGCGGTAACAACAAGGAGCTGCAAAGCAAACGACATAAGTACACCGAAAAAAAAAAAACGATCAAAATAACCCGACAAACTATTTTTTTAATCGTCTATCTGTTCATTCAGGGGTGGCGAAGCTGCGGCTCTCCGCGTGTTGAAGTGCGGCTTGCGGCTCCCGAGTCCCTCCCCTATCCCCCCCGCCTCCCTCCCGGTCACACAACCATTTCCCCAAAATGAGAAATAACGCGTTTCAAATCGAAAAACAGGTTGCGATTTGTTAGTGTTGTGCTACTGCTACCTTACATACAGTTGGACTTCTTTTGACTCAAATAGATTGAAAGTACTTCAAGTTTCGTGTATCGCTGTAGACAAAAGTTTGCCCCCTCCCCTCCTCCCCCCCCCCCCCCCCCCCCCCCCGCGGCTCTTGGAAGTTTTGTGGTTTTGTTTGCGGCTGTCAGGCCGGGTCAGCCTGCCCATGTTAATTCAATCTGTTTTGTAAGTAAGGATGGTGAATTCATGCATTGGGAACAGACACCGAGAAGGCTCGCGCCGCTTTTGAGTCGTAAATAACGTCTGCTATTTCACTCCGGCTCTCAGGCAGCATACCCGTTCGTTGGCGGCAGTTGGCATCTCTTGTCTCCCGTGCCGAACGGCGCCCTATTTTTTGAAGACCGATTTTCTTTTTTTTTTCCCTCAGGTAAGTTCGCTCTTTGCAATTTTTATATTAA